AATTTTTGTCCCTGTTTTAGTATAATACCCTAGGATTTGGAGGATATTAAGAAACGTAGTTGAAAAGTAGGTTTTTTCTAGAATACTTTTACTCAAAGTGTCATTCATATACAATTTTAGGCCCACAAACTACTGCCTGATACATAATGAGATGTATGTGGAAACTGTGATCGAGCATTTAGAAATTTTTATAATAACCTGATAATAATTATATGTATATAGACAATAATAATTAAAAAGTAGAGTTTGCATAGCAGAAGTATAACAGACCAGGCGAGAAAAAAAAATAATAATGAACAGTTATATACCAGAGACAATTTAAGGGGGTGGGGTGGGTAATGGGATCAAAAACAGTGGGGGGATGGAAATGCACTGGACTTTAGTGATGGCACATGGGTGGTTTGGTGATGGGAAGCCCAAGGGGATTACAGCTGAGATGGAAAAATGCACAAGATGATGTAAAAATTAACTATTATTTTAAAAAAAGTGGAGTTTGTATTATGTCTTTGTTTTTCTTTTTGTAATTTGTTTTATTGCCATTTATAAATATATGGGTCTATTGTGGATTGACATAAGGGAAAAAAATCTGGCCTAATATGAAAAACACTGTTCAGAATTCCAGAGGATCATCTGAACATTTTATCAGGATGATGAATTGGAATGTATGGTTTTTTAGCTACATGTTATAATTTCCTTATAGTGCCCTGCTGGTGGCACTTTCCCTACTGTTCCCCACCAGCACTGTTTTCCCTCCCCCCACCAAAAGCTACAGGAGTTGGGAGCTCTATGCTTCTGTCACTCAGCATTAAACCTAGAGAGTAAAACTCCTTTTCTGCCTAGGGAAAACTCTCGGGGTAATTAATTTTGTATACCTAGATTCTTATTTTTGTGGGGGAGAAGAGGGATAGGACAGGGAAAGTAAAAATGAAGATGTACTACTCATTTAAAAGTCTTTCTTTTCTATTCTTTCATTATGAAGTTTCCATAAAGTATTGATTCACAGAATGAAAGTGTGGGAATGAGTGTATTTTAGCAGTCATAGATTACAAATACTTGACAAGTGGGTTTAGATATCTTATTCCTGGCTATTGGTAACAGTGTGACTATGATCCCATTTCCTATGATAGGAAAAGGGTCAGTGAAATCCACATCCATCTCCGGAGAGTTTTTTTTTTTTTTTTTAAGATTTATTTATTTATGCATACAGGAGCTGGGAGTATAGGCCAGAGGTACAGAGGCAGTAAGAGGACTAACCCAAAATAGACTGGTGAGCAGAACAGGCAGATTAACTGAAATGCACTGCTGAGGGGGGCAGCAGTCAGACAGGAAAGGTCTGCTGTGCTATGTGGCTTAGCCTCTTTTAGTGCTGAGACTTAACCCCTTGTTCCACCAGAGAGACCTCCAGAGAATTCTTTATGGGACTTTGTGAAGCATCTGTATGGTATCACTTCTGACCTTTCATTCAGTGCCATAGTGCACTCTTTCCTATTATAAATCAAAAGGTTATTAGCAAATCAAGCCTACAGTATGTAAAAACATAATATATCATTACTAAATGAAGTTTATCCTGGGGATGTAAGACTGTTTCAATATCTTAAAAAATCATTGAATCCGGCCCTCCCTGGTGGCGCAGCGGGTTAAAGCACTGCACTGAGAAGCTAAAGCCACTTTCGCATGAGTTTGATTCCTGCCTGCCCCGGAGGTGACCACATGGCGTGGCAGACCTCTCCTGACCTGCCCGCTGCTCCCCTCAGCAGTGTACTTCGTGGATCTGCCTGTTCTGCTCCCCACTCTGCCTCTGGTGAAGCCTCTCACTGCCCCTGAGCCTCTGGCCTATACCCCAGTTCTGTATGTACAAATAAATAAATCTTTTTTAAAAAAAGATTTTAAATCTTATTTAAATCTTTTTTAAAAAAAGATTATTAAATCTTATTTAAAAAATATTTTAAAGAAGAAAACTCAATTTTCATATCAGTGATGGAGAAAGGGCACTTGACAAAATTTAACATTCTTTCATGATAATGAACATCTGAAAAAAAGTCTGACTAACATTCTACCTTACAGTGAAATACTGAATGTATTTATCCAAAAATTGGGAACAAGACAAGGTGTCCAATTTCATAGTCCTGCAGTCCTACTCAGTAATATGGGACAAGAAAGGGAAACCTAAAAGGGGTCAATTATATGGTAAGGATTGGATTGTACTTTAATGGTGAACTTATTTAGATATACACACATTGATTTTAAATGATGCAAACCTGAAACTTATATATATATATTTTTTTTAAAGATTTATTTATTTGTGCATACAGAACTGGGGTACAGGCCAGAGGCTCAGCGGTGGCGAGAGGCTTCACCAGAGACAGAGTGGGGAGCAGAACAGGCAGATGGACAAAGTACACTGCTGAGGGGAGCAGCGGGCGGGCCAGGAGAGGTCTGCCACGCCATGTGGTCACCTCCGGGGCAGGCGGGAATCGAACTCATGCGGAAGCGGCTTTAGATTCTCAGTGCTGGACTTTAACCCGCTGCGCCACCAGGGAGGGCTGAAACTTATATATTTTAATGCATTGTTATGTCAGTAAAAATTTAAATAACATAAAATATGGTTGAGCTCAAAAAGATAAAGAGGGAAATACAAGGCTTGTGTATTGGAAAGAATAAATAAAACTGCCATTACTTGCAGATAATGCAATCGTATATGTATAGAACACAAAGGACTCTGTTTAAAAATATAAATCCTAGAACTAAGTGAATTAGTGAGGTCACAGAATACAAGGTCAACAGCCAAAGTCAATCACATTTCTAAAAATTAAGAGCTAGAACCTGAAATTAAAGCACAGTTCCATTTACAAACATATCAAATCAAATAAAACATTTAGGAATACATCTAACAAATCATACACAGTATGCTGAAAACTGCAATGTGCTGATAAAAGAAATCATTATATAAATAAATGGAGAGACATACCATGTTCATGAACAGGTAGACACAAAATAATAAACATATCATTTCTTCCAAAACTGATCTATAGACTATCAAACTCCCCAAAATACTTTCTGTAACTATAGACAATATAAGCATCATACTGAGTGGAAAGAACCCATTCTCAAAAGTTACATACTATATGATTCTCATTTCTGTGACCTTGATGAAATTTTAGTGATGAAGAGTGAATCAGTGGTTGATAGGGATTAGGAGAAAGGGAGGTGTGATTACAAAGGGAAAACAGAGGGAGTTTTCTGGCATGATGAAACTGTTCTGTATCTTGACGACCACAATGGTCACAGAGATATCCACGTATGTGTCAAAATTCATAGGACTATATACAAAAAAGAGTCAGTTTTATCAAATTAAAGCATTTAAAAACAAAGCCAAATTAAAAAAAAAATAGAGGCAGACTGCATGTGGACTTGGAAGTGTCAAACTATGGCGATAAAATTGCCCTAGTCTTTTAACATGAAGGAAAACAGCTATTAGGTGAACACTCATAAAATCTGTACCTTGCTTTACTTTTCAAAGATTTTTTTTCCCCATCTAGATGTTCATCTTAAATATATCAAAATAACACTTTTTTAAGTGAGAGACCTAGACCAAATTGTATGTGATATCTTTGTATTCCTAAAGTAAGACTAGATAACTTTAATTTTTTATTTGCTTTTTAAAAGGTATTTTACATATTGCAGCTTTTACAAATATTTCTTAACCACTACATTCCTATCCTCTATCACTTCTGTCACACACAAAATGGTTTTCTGCAGTTTTTTTTTCCCCCCTGCAAATTGTACTTCTCTCAGTGAGGGTAGTGGAAGATGAGAAGCAGGTTTTTTACAGCTGATGTGATCACTGTTCAGACAAGCTTGGAAAATGCTACCCAATCTGCCAATTAATTAAAGCATTAATCTGAGGAGCAGCCGGCCCAGGGATTGTTTACCCAAGGGGTTGGGGGGTGTTAGGAATGGGTAAGAAGCTCCCTGCATATGTATGAAAATAAAGGTACTTAGGAAATCCTGCTTCCTTTTGTTTCTAAAGGTGTCCCTAAATCACTCTGGCCTGTTTAGGAAGCCTTTTAAGGAACTGTCTCTGAAAGATGAAGGCATCACAGAAAAAGAAACCCCAGGAGCAAGTCCTGTATAGTTTCTTAATGTACTTTCTCAGATGTGAAATGAAATCCTATAAATTTAGAAGTATATGCTGGTAAATAGGTAGAATAGATACATTTTTTTTTTACAAGTTTTGGAAATTATAAAGACTGGGCTCAAATACCAGTTCTGCTTCTTATTAGCTGTATGTTTTAGGGCCAACCATTATCTTATCTCAGTCTCTTTTCTCATCTGTAATACAAAGATTGTGACTTGTCCCTTCATTTTAGGGCAGTTAGCCCTCTGCTTGCTCTAAGTATAAAGGAGGCTGAAGAGAATGGTTAGGACCCAAGATTTTAAACTGCGTTTGTAAATAGGGACTCTGCAACCTTTGTTCTTTTTAATCTTATTTTCAGCAAGGGACTATAAACCTCAAGGTTCCCCTCACCTTCCTGGGATATGCTGTAGAGAAGCATTTGGTAACCTTGACCGAAATAGCAAAAGACATGACAGTAACCCCCTGAGGGACCTCTGACCACATGACTGTGCTCAAGATATGAAGTTCACCTGGGTATCCCTGGGGAGAGTGATAAAATACACATGGAAATTTTGACCCAGCAATATTTGATGATATTAAATTCTAATTTTTTAAAACTGTGGTAAAATATATTTAACATAAAATCTTAGCCATTTTATTTTTAAACTTCTAACCATAACTTTTTTTTTTTAAGCTTCTTAATTTTTCAGAGCTACATACCAGAAATTTTATAGTAAAATGATACAGTGTCTGGGATGTGATTCAAGGTAATCCATAAGGAGGAAGGTTGACCCAGCATCTAAAATCTCTAGCCTTGTAACTCAGACAAGAAAGACCTTTTTCTAGGGGATAACTCTCTTCATACCTATTTCTTCTCTTGCAGAACTCTCAGAAATTGAGCCCAATGTATTCCTGCGTCCGTTTTTGGAAGTGATTCGTTCTGAAGATACCACTGGCCCTATCACTGGACTGGCACTCACCTCTGTCAACAAGTTCTTGTCCTATTCACTCATAGGTAAGAGCTTAGCGTTTGTTGGATAACCACAGTGCTTCATTTCTTACCTCTCTGAAGTCTTTAAACAATTAGCTGGAGAGGCTAGAAAGTTTTTCCTAGTCATGTATTTCTTTGTATAAGAGAAATAGGATTGTTACTATATACTCATCTTTCCTAATTGATTCAGGTTGTACAGAGTGGGGAGGGAGAAAGGTTTCCTTGGGACTCTGGTTTCTTTGGTCTTTGGAGCAAGGGTATTGTGTCCTTGGAGCTTTGATTTTTTTTTTAAATGCATGTTTATTGTAAGAAGATAAACAATAAAGAGCTATCTAAAAGAAAAGCTAATGGTCTCTCCTCTATCTTTCTCATCGCCCCTCCTCCTTCCTTAGGTAAATAGTGTTAACAGGTTGGTTTGAATCTTTCTATACCTTTCTTTGCATCTGTAAATATATATAAAGTACTACTTTTTTTTTTTTTTAAATGCATACAAGTACTGGGCTGTAGGCTAGAGGTGTTGGAGATGAGAGGATTCACCAGACTGGGGAGCAGAACAGGTAGATTCACTGAAATACACTGCTGAGGGGAGCAATGGGTGAGACATCAGAGGTCTGCTGTGCTATGTGGATCAGCTCCCTGGCCAAGGATTGAACTTAGGCTATAGTGGCTGGTGATAGCTTGATAGTGCAAGTTTTAACCCCTGTGCCACCAGGGAGACCCAAAGTACTACTTTTTTTAAAAAAAAGAAAGAAAACAGAATTATGTGCTTACATATTTTCTTGTTTTCACTTAATATTGTTAACTTAGAAAGATGTACTTAACTGCCTCCTTTATTCTTTTTCATACAGTTTTATTAAAACATAATTGACAATGTTAATTACAACATAAGTTAATGATATATCACAAAATTGATTTTATATATGTTGCAAAATGATTACCACAAGGTGTTTAGTTAACGTTCATCACCTCATGTAGTAACAAATTTTTTAATCTCAGAACTGGAAGTTTTTGTGTTCTTTTTTTATTGTGGCAAAATACATATGTTCCAAATTTTGCCATTTTAATAATTTTTAAGTATATGATTCAATGGCATTATGTTATATAAATATCATCAGCATCTATTTCCTGAGCTTTTTCATCACACCAAAAAGAAACTAACCATTAAACAGTAATACACCATTTCTCTCCTTTCTTAGCCACTGGTAAGGTTTTCTTTTTAATAGCTATATAATTTCTGTAGTATAGTTATAACACACTTCATTTAATCATTCTCTTATTAATACTTAATATTTAGGTTGTTTCCCATTTTAATCCATTATAAGTAATATTGAAATATGTATACTTCCATCTTTTCTGTTTATGTGTTTCCATCTTTTCTGTTTATGTGATTGATTCCTGTACTTGAAATTTCTGAATTAAAAGCCATATGCATATCAAATTTTCATAGGTACTACCAGGTTGCTTTCCCTGATCCGCAGTATTTGCCCTTCCAACATTAGTGGTTGAGTTTTTATCTCCCTACCCCATCAGCAGCACTGAGTACTCTGAGTATTCTTTATTTGTGCTAATTTGTTGGAGGAAAAAAGTTTGTATGTTGTTGTTTTTATTTCCTTGAAGCTGAACATTTTGATTTCCTCTTCTTTGGCTATTTTTTTATTGATTTGTTTTGTTTTTCTTATCAATTTTAAGAGACTTTTTATATAGTGGGAATATTAACCCATTGTCTATCGAAGTGTTGTAAATGTTTTCTTCCATTCTACCCTAAATATTTTTTCCAGTCTATTAGTTACCTCTGAATTTGATTATGGATTTTAGGGGGGAGTTTCCTTTTAAGTTGGTCTTGTCACTCTGGATCCTGAATTCCTTTTCGCCTATTGCCAGTCCATGTGCAAGTGTGTTAAACACAGAAAACAGACAGCTGTCTTTGTTTCTAAGTAGGGAGACAAAAGGGGTGGCTCAGGCTGTAGCTAGCTAGGAAGGAAAATGGCCTTCAGTTTAGGGCAGGAAAAGCCTGTGTCTTATCTAGAAAGTTGGATTGCTTAGCTGAAGCATACAGGATCCTGAGCAGGAATGTTGGGTGCTAGCTGGAATCTGAACATGTGCTTCCGCCTCTCCAGGCACCCTAGTCCTGGCTTCATACTTTTCCTAAGCAAAAATTGGGTCTAGCTACTTCCAGCCTTGCTCTGAGCACCATCTGCAGGTCATCCTTCTTCACAGTCTCCAGCAGCCGTCCTCTGTGCCTTTCCCCTTTGTTCTCTTATGAGTGTTTCTTTCCTTTTATTGGACTTGGCAGACAACCTGGTCACTGGAGTTTTCTGTGGTGGGAAAAAGAGAAGTATAGTGGTGGTGATTGCAGTGGCCATGAAAAAAGGAGCAGGAAGGAGTATATGAAAGCCAAAAGGCAAAGATGGGACTGGCAAATTTCCCTGCAGTGTGTTCCTATATGTCCAGGAAAGGACATTATGAGGAAGGGGATATTTTGTTTAAAAAAAAAACAAAACAGGGCCCTCCCTGGTGGCGCAGCGGGTTAAAGCACTGCACTGAGAAGCTAAAGCCACTTCCACATGAGTTCGATCCCCGCCTGCCCCGGAGGTGACCACATGGCATGGCAGACCTCTCCTGACCCGCCCGCTGCTCCCCTCAGCAGTGTACTTCGTAGACCTGCCTGTTTTGCTCCCCACTCTCTCTGGTGAAGCCTCTCGCCGCCCCTAAGCCTCTGGCCTGTACCCCAGTTCTATATGTATAAATAAATAAATCTTAAAAAAAAAAAAAAACAAAAAAACAAAAACTATACCTCACCCCTCAATCCTGTAACCCTAGGCTTTTAGGATTACTTAAGAGCCTTTTCTTTGGCTCACACAGCAGCCAGACCAGAGTTTGTGACACTGATTGCCTGACTTGCTGGCAATCTGTTCCTGTGGTTCTAAAGTCCTCTAAATTTTTTAGAAAATTAATGTTGATACTTCATTCAAGCCCAGAGGATAAGAACTACAAAAAGATCAGTATAGCTATAGTACTTTAATAGGGAAATTATTGAAAGAGGGGAAGAAATAAACCCCCAGCAACCTTATAAGGTAGGATCAAGGCTGCTTATTTGTCACTGAGCTCCTACACAATACCAAGAAGGACTTAGATTTCCTGTGCAAGGAAAAGTCCTATTATGGATCCTGGAGGCCTGAATAAGGAATGTTAGCAGAGCTGTGAGAATGTGTATGATTTTCTGTGTTGATGTGGGAAAAAAAGGGATGACAGAAGTAGCTGGATGATCTCATAAATGATATATTACAGTGAAATTGGCTTCTTTTTGCATGATCTCTTAAGTTGCCACCCTTCATGCTGAATAGAGGAATGGCAAAAATTTGATTAAGTATCAGAAAGTTGACAGGGGCGACAGATTTTTGCAAGAAAAATGTTCTGAGACCTCCCTGGTGGCACAAGGGGTTAAGTCTCAGCACTCTCAAGCTATCCACAGCTGCTGCAACATGATTTTGATTCCACAACCAGGCAGCTGACCCACATGGCACAGCAGACCTCTGCTGTCTCCCCGGCTGTACCACTCAGAAGTATATTTCAGTAGATCTGCCCGTTCTGCTCTCCACTCTGTCTCTGGTGAATCTTCTCACCCCCACCCCCCACACACACCTCTGACCTACACTCCAGCTCTGTATACATAAGTAAAATAAATCTTTTTAAAAATAAAAATAAAATGAGTAGCTTTAAATTAGTGATTCCCAAAATATAGTCCCCTGACCAGCAAGAGGCACCTGTGATCTCATTAGAAATACAAATTATTAGGCCCCACTTCTAGACCCACTACATCAAAAATTCTGAACTGGACACAGCAGTTTGCGTTTTAACAAGCCCTCCAAGTGATTCTGATATATGATTAAGCTTGAAAACCATTGTTATACACAGTGACATCTGTGTTGAGATGCTCACTAAAGCTAATTGCTTAACTCAGATAGCCCAAGGATCTATGCATGGTCAGGGAATAGAGAGTAGAAAAGTGAAGTCTGAAGACAGGATGTCTTGCATTTTCTCTCTCCTGTTCACATCATTTAGTCTTCCCTTTTTCTCTGGAGCAGATCCTGCTCATGAGGGCACAGCAGAGGGCATGGAGAACATGGCAGATGCTGTCACCCATGCCCGCTTTGTGGGCACTGATCCTGCCAGCGACGAAGTTGTCCTGATGAAAATCCTTCAGGTAAATGGTGGGGAAGAGCAATTAGGTGAATGGCCAGGGGTGATGCCATGACTCTACTTACCCAAGTCTGCCTGCTTCAGAAAGCTGTGTTTGGACTCTCCTGAGGCTTAGGGAGTCACTTTGTTTCCAAACAAGGAACTGCTATACCAAAAGTTAAGAGCTTTTTCTAAGAAAAATAATTAAAACTTTTTAAAAAATTGCTGTCAAATACCAGAAGCCCTTAATACACTTGTACCTCTGGTAGACCATACTATCCATCTGTTGTATTAGTCTACTATGGCTGGAATGAATTCTGAACTATGTTAGATTCATGCATAATAAAGACACAGTTTCTATGAAACAATCCTGAAAGAATTTCCTCCCACATTGAAACAAGATCAATCATTTGCCATTTGTTCACCTGAATACTTACCTAGGAGACTAGAGGAACAGGAGATATCTTCCCTGGCCTCAGGTGCACCCCTCTTCACCTAAGCTGCCTTATTATCACAGTATCTACTCTTTCTTACTGGTAGGTGCTGCGAACTCTATTGCTGACCCCAGTTGGTGCCCATTTAACCAATGAATCTGTGTGTGAGATTATGCAGTCTTGCTTCAGGATCTGCTTTGAAATGAGGCTCAGTGGTAGGTGCTTGGACTTTGGGCCCTTCATCTTTCCTGGGGCCAGTGTCTGTGAGTATGAATACAGGTTGCTGTCTCTGAATGTCAGAGAAATGAAAAATTCAGGGCTTCTCCATCACCTACCTTGTGGTGTTATGTTATGTGTCTGTACTTGACAGTTTGTTGCACAGGTAGAATAGAGAACTTAGCCCATTGTGCCAATGCAGGAACCAGGATAGATCCCAGACTGACTTAGCCCAGCCACCAAATCGCCCTCCCGTGGGGTTTTTGGGATCTGACACCAGTCTGTAAACCCTGAGAATCTATCATTGCACCCCTTATTTTCCCTGACTCAGTAGTGCCATCTTGTGGGCCAGCGAACTTATAACTGCCAGACTGAGCTGGAGCTGGTTTTAATAAGTTTGGCATAATCCTTGGTAAACAAGGTTTGGAGGGGAGTCTGCTCTGAGAAGCCTCCTGATAATAGCACAGCAAGTAATGACACCTGTGTTATTTGTTTTTGCCTGTGCAGAGTTATTGAGAAAATCCGCAGAGCACACTCTCGTAGACATGGTGCAGCTGCTCTTCACAAGGTAAACCTGCTGCTGTTTGCTTCAGCCTGGCTGCCCAGGCCTCTTGAGCCTGCCTGCTTCTACACAGCCACTTCAGGGACCTGGCCAACCCCACAGCCACATCAGAGGCCACTGGGACTATAGATGGGGGAAGTTCTCTGGGCCCAGGATAACCAACCAAGGGAGGAAGGAGGGAGCTGGCTTGGCCTCAGGGGGAGGCAGAGGGTTATTTGAGCTAAGCTGACAGACCTCATTCTGCCTCCCAAACTTGTGTCTGTTTCTGTGCAGTTAGCAGCTGGGGAAAGGAACCCAGAGAGGAAGCCAAATTCAAGGGACCTGGAACAAGTTGCTGAGCTCTCAAAACTCAGCCCAGATTGTGAAGAAGGATCAAAGTTAGGGTGACCAACAATCATGGTTTGTTTAGACTGATTAGCACTCAAAGTCCTATAGTCCCACCGCCCTATAAACCCTCTTAGTCTCAGGCAAACCAAGACTGCTGTTTACCCTAGTTAAGATCCTCAATTTAGGGACAAGGAGGCTATTTCATACTAAATCTGACTACCTTTCTCTTACACCTCCTTTCAATAGACTTAATTTTGAGAGGAGCTGAAACAGTGGTTTAAAAAAGCCTTCCTTAGGGGATAATAATGGGAGAGGTCAGTCATGTGTGAGAAGGGCAGGTTAGGCAGGGCTTAGCCTGTGGTAGGGAAAACCAGTGTACCTTCCACTCAGCTTTGCTGTGAGACTAAAATTGTGCTTAAAAAATAAGTTTATTTAAAAGGTTAAAAATAGCTCTCCATGGGATTTCTTTTTACTCTCAGGTCTATAAGTAACAGTCCTTATCATTACAGACTAGATCTGCCCCCTGGATCCTGCTGCAACAAGCTGCTTATTCCTCAGACTCAAATTTATTGGTTTCAGAACTTCAACCTTCTCACCCTTTCCATAGTTTTCTGGGATTTTGCTCTCCATCATTTGGCTTTCAGTAATACTTGCCAAGAGAACATAAGCAGGAAGGAGTTAGTTTAAGGATAGAAGGAGCATCCACACTCCAAGAGCATTCAGTCATCAATTGTGATGATAATCTTCTTTTTTAGAAAATGTTCATGTCATACATTGCCCAGTTTCTGTAGCTCTTTGATGAAGCTCTTAAAAGGGTAAAATCCACATCCTTCTCTTTCTCGCTTTTCCTAAAAGGGCATGTTCTGGACCTTAGCATCTTTGGGTACTTGCTAGCATGGACAGAGAAGTTTATTATTATCCCTAATGACAGTTCATGGGATTCTCTATCTTATAGGTTACCTCAATTTAAAGAAGAACCCAAGAACTATGTGGGGACCAACATGAAGAAGGTATGACCTGTTGTCTAAATCTGGGTCTCCCAACTTTAGTGTTATGGGCATTTTCCTGGATACCCTTGCTTAGCAAAAACATGCTTTTGTCTAAATGGGTCTGGAATCTCAAAAAAGCTTATCACTCCTTTTGTGAGAAATTGCTCTTTCCCAGATACCTCTCCTGCCCCAACCTTTCCTTTCCAGCCTATCTTTGTTGACCCACCACATATGCTGGTGAATCAGTCCTTAATGGAAACTGGGTATGACCCATCAGACTAGTCCAAAATGTATACTGATAAAGGTGAAAGTCCTGCCGTTCCTAAGGGCTCAGCCTTTTCTGCAAGTAGGAGGCCTAGAGAGGCTATCCCCCAAATCTCACCCTGATGCTGGTTTAGACTGGACTCGTGCTTGGGCTAGTCTCTGTTGAAGAAACAGATCAAGCCTGACTCCAAATTAGAAGTTTCTCAAACTGCTAGAAGAAGAATGGTGGTCAGAAAATGGCCTCTTTATATCTTGAACAGAATCCCTAGGCTTCACAGGCCTCTGATGAGGGTTCTGCTTATAGCCTTAAGAGGTTTTCTGCCCATGGAGATGATCCTTGGCTGTTTGATGCATGCATCTGACCTTGCCCTCTCCCCTGCCATCCATCCCCATTCCTGCCCTGTGCCCTGTTGGCATGTGTCTGAGTTAATTTCACTCTGTTTAAATCGTTCGTTTGCCTGTCTTTCACAGATTTCTCCATGTCTCCTCAACAAACTGGAGCTAAGTAGTGGGGAGCAGACCAAAGCCCTGAACCAGTTAGAGAGGGTACTACTCTTTAAGAACCTCAAGGTCTCTCTCCCTCTCCCTCTCTTTTCCCTCTTTTTATTTATTTATTTAAATGTTTATTTTTTTATATGTAACATCTGGGTCCCATTTCCATCGTGTAGAGTGCAACTTACCCCTTCCTAGTAACAGCACGGCTTTGGAAAAGTTGCATGTGTTGGTAGGTTTGCAATGTTAAGATTTTCCTGGGGCACCTGGAAACAGAACATGGGTCCTGCTGATATCGTGGGGAGAGACTTAATATCTACCATTTCTAGGGGAAGCAGGAGGGACCGTCAAGCTGTAACCTTCCCTCTTCTACCTTTAACTTTTCTCAGAACTGGCATAGCTAGCTTAAGCATAGTCTTTGACTCTATCTGGATACCTGAACTGGGTTTGGAGGGAAAGGGTATTTTCCATCTAGTTGGGGTCTTTTTTTTGTTTCCCGTTTGGTTACCATCACTCCAAAATTTAGGACTCTAGATGGATGGAAAAGAACCAGGTGCCAAGATAGCCTAGGCACCAGGAATGCTTTGAGAGCTCTATAAATTCCTGCCCTCTGCCCTTTAAAAATCAGCCTAGAACTGAGCTGAGTCTAAGCTGTTACGAAGGGTGCATGCTGGAGGTGTAGTCATCAACATATAGGTCACTGAGGAGAATAACTGTGTGTGTTAGTGTGTGCACACCTAGGCCTGTGTCTCTTTGCATGCATTGTGTCAAGTTTCATTTGTGTGCTTGCTTGTCTCAAGTTGCAGCTCTCTTCAGTGGCTACCCAGCATTTTGCCATGATTATTAGCCCAGGACCTGTCCTTTGTTTGTAAACCTTATATTGTCCCTTGGAAGTACATAACTATATAGATAAGATGCTTACTTTTCCATGAAAACCTACCCACTACTTTAGGACAGAAAACATAACTGTTGAAGCTTTTTAAATGCTGAAACACTTGTAAGAATTGGTAGCCTGTTGGTCCCTTCTCTACCAGGAGGCAAAGAATATTTATTGAAATAATCAGGTTGGAGCTAGTTTTGCAAAAGATAGGGAAGGACTGGCCCTAGTGTGGGAAGGTATCTTAACGAGTAACTGGTTTCTCAATGGATAGGCCCACCTGGAGTCCCTAAAAGAGGGATAGGGTTGGGTGGCTGCTTAGAAAGAATAGATATCCCACAAAAGTAGATATTCATACTTTTGGGAGCTGCGTCAAAATCCAGGAGGTTCTTGTTTTCCCTCACTGATCTCCTGGGCTTCTTGCCTATCTGTATATTTGGCTGACATTACCCAGAACATTTTTTACCTTGAACCTCACCCAGATGAGCTTCAGTGGTTCCTGAAGAAGGCATCCTGATTCCTGCTTAGCCACAATACTGAGGGCACTTGAAGCTCCGTTCCAGACAAAATGACAACAGGAATTTGGGAGGTGGAAGGACTCTTACGTGTGAATTCAATGCAAGTGTTGTAGCCTGACTCCTTTATGGATTGAACTATGGATAGGGAAGGAAGAATTATGTGGTTGCTAAGCCAAGAGATCAAGGTTACTGAAGTTCTGAAGTTTACAGGGAACTTGAGGAGAGGAGGCTAAATATGAGAAAAAATTGAACAAATCAAGGATAATCGGGTATATTCAGCCTTTAGAAAGAGACAGGCTTCTACTCATTCTACTCACTATAGTAGAATTAGTGCCGTTCTGATGGTTTCTGGAAAACAAGTACTATTGCCCACTCCAGGAATGGACTGTCAGCCTGGGAGCAGCTTAGTGTAACTCTGACGGGGACTGGGTTCAAAGCCTAACTGAAGATGCATCAGGACTAGGAGAGCAAAATGAGCCTAACCAAAGTAGCTGTGAACTTTTGAGAAATTTGCACCAAAATTTACACCCTGTAATAGTCAACAGATGATAGAGATTTTCCTTTGTGATTAAAAAGAAGTTACATGAGGAAAAGAAATACAGCAAGAGAGGGAAGTGAGTAGAGCAAGGCCTCAAAAAATCAGTAGCCTTACCATCTTAAAACATAAAACTGCATCTAGAAAACTACCAGGGAGGATAGGTAGTACCATAGATACACCAAAATTGGGAGTAACAGAGAACAGAACAGCTGCCTGCCAGTATCCTCCACCCCTAGCTGCACAAATCAACTTGAATACTACTCCTTCCTTAACTCCAAGCGGCCAATTTAATGCAGAAATTCTGAAGAGTAAGGAATATGTTTTTGCTGAAGGCAAAAAAAAAAAAAAAATAGCTAAGAGGCTGGGAAGTAGTAGGCTCTCATAGTTGGATACGAACCAGGAGTAGGAGGCCACTCTGCAAGTAGATAAGGAGGAAAGCCAATAAATCCTGGGACAAAAGATCTGAATCTCTAGGCAAAGGAGTCTTGACCCTGACATTTTCTGTAGGAGCATCAGGTACGATCAGGATTGCCACCCAGGGCTCAGGGAAGTAGAATGATATGTGGGTGCTAGAGTTATCAGTGACCAGCCTAAAGTAGCAGAATGTCACCCTCCACATAGGCTGACCTGTAAAGTGACAAATGTAGAAGACAGGTTAGAGGAGTAGAAGTGTGCTCTGGTAGTCTGGATTGTTCCTGTGGTGCAGATGCTGTGTTTAGGCTGTAGGACTAAGAGAAGGGCGATTTGTAGGGATAGAGACTTAGTTTGAATACCAGGCTAATCAGGTGTGATATTTCCAGCTGAAAATGAGAGCAGGAGGCATGAGTGATTCATCCAAGTGGAAGAAACAGAAGAGATCTCCCCGGCCCCCTCGCCATATGACCAAAGTCACACCAGGTTCAGAGCAGCCCACCCCCAATGGAACTAATTTATCCTCTAATCTCACTGGTAAGTCTACTGGGCTACTTCCTTTCCTCTGGTTAGAATAGATAGAGGAAAAGCTCCTCTTTTAAGGATTTTGATATTGAATATCACCGTACCAATATGCTTTGGTCTTTCTGACTGGAACAAAAAGGAAAAACTTCAGGTCAAATTAGACTGCACCAACTTAGCAACTCTGCAGTAACTTAAAGTTTTCCTCCTTGCAGAAGGATTCTGACAACTTTGGAGACCAGTCTATGCAGAAATTAGTATGCAGTCTAGCAAATAGAGCTCCTGGTTCCATGAAGGGTAGTGGTTTCCAGGAGTCGCGTTTCAAGCCTTACTTTGTCTTGCAGGAGGCATGCCCTTCATTGATGTGCCCACACCCATCTCTTCTGCAAGTTCAGAAGCTGCCTCCACAGTGGTCAGCCCCTCTACAGACAGTGGCATAGAGTTCTCCTCCCAGACCACCTCCAAGGAGGACCTCACTGACCTGGAGCAACCTGGCTCTCCAGGGTACAGCACAGCTGCAGAACCTAACAGCAGTGAGCTAGGAGTTCCTGAGCAGCCTGACCCCCAGGTGCGACTTTGATTGCTAAAGGCATCTCTCTAGTCTGTCACTGTGTGACCTGACCCTTGGGTCCTTTATCCAAACCTTGGCTCAAAGGTTGGAATGTGGGGATTAATCTGTTTCTTAAAATTAGCTCTGCTGTCTAGAAAGCCTACATTAGGACTTAACTATGAGAGATGGCTCATGGGGTTTATCAAGTCATGCATATAGTTAGCACTTAGCAGCCATAAGGAAACTGGCTATGGCTTTTTCTGTAAAGTAATGCTCTAAATCTTAAGCCTGTGAGACCCTCTGCTATCTCAAGGATTCTAGTCACTGTAGGTCAGTGATGCTTCAGGAAATGTTTTCTGCGCCCTTCATCATACTCCTGCCCTGAGCCATCTTTGATTGATACAGCATTGTCTCAGTGTCCACTGAGTTGACTTTATAGAGGCCACCCATGAAAGACACTTAGAAGATAAAGTTCCAAGTTGTTCTTCCCTCATCTGTTTTCATTTATCCTCTTGCTACTGGTCATAGCAGGAAGGAGCCCATGTGGAAAAGGCCCAGTCAACATCTGTGGAATCCATCCCTGAAGTGTTAGAGGAGTGCACATCACCTGCTGACCACTCTGACTCTGCCTCTGTCCATGACATGGATTACGTCAACCCCCGGGGCGTACGCTTTACACAGTCCTCCCAGAAAGAAGGTGGGTACTCTGAGCAGACTCTGCCCACTCACCTCCTTTGTCCTACCCACTAAGCTAAACCTTGACCATCTTGGACTCAAGGTATCCACTGGTTCAGCCATTTCATCACTCTCTCTCTCTTTTTTTTTTTTAAGATTTATTTTTATTTATTTATACATACAAGAACTGGGGTGTGGGCCAGAGGTGCAGGAGATGTGAGGATTCACCAGAGACAGAGTGGGGAGCAGAATAGGCAGATGTACTGACATATACTGTTGAGGGGAGCAGTGGGTGAGACAGGAGAAGTCTACTGCACCGTATGGGGCAGCTCCCTGGTAGGGGATTAAACAGGCCACAGTGACTGTCAGTAGCTTGATAGTGCTGAGACTTAACCCCTGTACCACCAGGAGACCCCACCACGTCATTTTCTAGTCAAGAAATGGAGTCAAGCCAGAGGACTTTTACATGGACGGAACCCTTCCATGATTTGTAGAGTGGGAATCTGGTGAACAATAGTAAATGGGAGGGAAGAATAGAAATCTTGGGACTTTTAACAGGAAGTTGAAATCATCAATGATTATTCCCTCCAATAAGTGAGACTAGCTCCCTTAACTCACCAGGAAAAAGTTACTTTTTTTTCCCTCAATGAAAATCACTTATCTGAAAGTGCCTTGTATATGCAGGGCAGACTAGGGCAAGTTGTTTCTTAGCAGTCTCATTTCCCTCCTGGCTTTTCACAGGTACAGCTTTGGTCCCCTATGGTCTTCCCTGTATCCGTGAACTCTTCCGTTTCCTCATCTCCCTCACCAATCCACATGACCGCCACAACTCAGAGGTTATGATTCACATGGGACTACATTTACTGACAGTGGCTCTTGAGTCAGCCCCTGTAGCACAGTGTCAAACCCTCTTGGGCCTCATCAAAGATGAGATGTGTCGCCACTTATTCCAGGTAAGATTGCCATAGAGAATCAGAGCCCCTAACTATTTTTCGGGGTCTCTCAACACCCTGGGAAAGCAGTTTGCTTTCCTGCTTTTCTCTGGTTTATACTATAATGAGGTTCAGAAACCTAATGCCTGTCCTCTCTGATATCCAGCTACTCAGTGTAGAGCGACTGAACCTTTATGCTGCTTCCCTACGGGTATGCTTCTTACTGTTTGAGAGCATGAGGGAGCACCTCAAGTTCCAACTGGAGGTGAGTTTCTTGACCTTGGAAGAAGGGGAAAATAGAAGATGTGTGACACTTTAGTAGGAACAGCTCTGTTAGGCTTAGGGGGGGATTTATGTGCTTCTATAGGAGAATGCTTTTCACCTCAATAGTTTGGTTCATTGACTGGTTGGTCTCTGTAGTGGAGAAGCTAAAAAGAGCCTAAGTAAAACTAGCTGGTAGTAAAATGAGAGAATTCAAATGTATTATAACTGGCAGATAACGTCATCATGGGTGAAAACAGCTCTTCTACCTAGCATTTCCTCTGCAACAAAGGTGGGCAAATCAAGCTGGTTTTGCTACTAAATTACATAGACACTAAATAGGACCAGGTAAAACTTACTTAGCACAAAAATAGCAGTAGACAGCTTATTTTGGATTAGGTATGAGGTAGAGAGCTGGGACATATCTGCCAACTTGAAGATGTAAAGGATGTACTTAGGGAATGAAGTCCCTTTAAATGTCCTTAACTGCATGCCTGTGGCTTCTGATTCCTGTTTAATGTTTTCCCTGTCCAATTTTGTCTTCTGTCTTGATTCCTTTCCTCACCCAAATGATGATTACTGGATTATTGTCAGATGTACATCAAAAAGTTGATGGAGATCATCACTGTGGAAAACCCCAAGATGCCTTATGAAATGAAAGAGATGGCACTGGAGGCTATTGTGCAACTCTGGCACATCCCCAGTTTTGTCACCGAGCTCTACATCAACTATGATTGTGACTACTACTGTTCCAACCTCTTTGAGGACCTCACCAAGTTGCTGTCCAAGGTACTGAGCACTATTACTACCTCTAAAAAGAAAGCTCTATTAAGGAAATCTCTAGTATTAGTGTGGATGCTTTGTACAAGGAGAGAAACACTTAAAGGTTGGGAAACAGAAGAAAGGCATTTTTTTTCAGGATGGTATAGAAGTTACAGGAGATATTAGGATTTTTGGAAAATGATTGAATGAAATGTATGGTATCCTAACCTCAAGTCTACTGGATGTTTACTTTCCAGAATGCCTTCCCTGTGTCTGGTCAGCTCTATACAACACACCTACTGTCTCTTGATGCCCTGTTGACAGTGATTGACAGCACCGAGGGCCATTGCCAGGCTAAAGTCCTGAACAACCTTACCCAGCAGGAGAAGAAAGAGGCAAATAGACCCAGCTATGAAGCAGTAGATAGCACTCGAGAAGCCAGCAATAGTGAGAGACATTTCTTTTTTTGAGGATCCCAGAATTCAATGTTTGTCTCTTCTTTACTAGCTGATTTCTTTCTCTTGTCCTTGTATCACTTCCCTTGGGACACTCCCAAATCTGTGTTTTTGAGGTCTGGTGTTTTGAATGCAGGCCAAGAGAGCAGGTTAGCAGAACTTATATATATATATAAGTTATATCTATACTTAAAGATATATATTATATATTATATACTCATAAGTATATGTATATGTATATACTTATGTGTGTGTGTGTATAATTAATATTTCTTTATGAGAAGAAAAGGGAATAGAGATTAAAGGATATAGGGCTTCTGTCCAGATCCTACTTTTCCCCCACCCCCAATATCTGCCTTTACTTTAATTAGGCTTCCCTATCTTCTCTTGATATTGAGGTTGTAGAAGATCAGAGAAAGTGACTAGATAATCTCTTTGATAAATTATAGACTCTAATAATTGGCTAATCTGGAACAATGCCACTTGTTTGGTTATGGGTTTGTCCTGTTGAGAACTGACAACCTATGTAGGAACATGCAGGTCCCTTGACTTGGGGCTCAACCTCTCCTGAAGCTTAGCTTGGCTCCCAATTCCATTAGTCTTTACATACCTTCTCTCTCACCAGCTGAGAAAGCAGCCAGTGATGGGAAAGCTGTAAGCGTGGCCCCAGGCATTCCAGGTCTGCATCTACCGAGTGGAGGGCGGCTGCCAGCAGAGCATGGGAAGCCAGGATGCAGTGATCTGGTGGAAACTGGTGACTCTGGGGGTGGGTACTAGTTGTCCATGACCCTAAGCCCTTTTTTCTTTTTAAAGATTTATTTATTTATTTATCTATTCACACAAGAACTGAGATACAGGCCAGAGGTACAAGGTTGGGGGCTGGTGAAAGGATTCACCAGAAACTGAAATAAACATTGCTGAGGAGAGGTCTGCCACGCCACATGGATCAGCTCCCTGGCCAGGGATCAAATTCGTGCTGCAGTGGCTATGGACAGCTTTATAGTGCTGTGCTTTAACTGTGCCACCAGAGAGGGTCTGACCCGGAAGCCTTTTAACTGGAAGGTTTGATGAAGAGGGCTGGGAGCAGTACCTGAAAGAGCCTTCTTTGGCCGTTTACCCTGCTTTTAAACCCAGAGAGAAGAAAGAAAACATTTAATGGGTTTTCTAGGGAAGTGGAAGACTAATGAAGACAAGAAAAGTTTCTGAGGCATTCTTCTTTTTACTGGAGTATATCAGTAAAAGAGGTCTTAACATTTTTTTCTCTTTCTCCCTCCAATTCCTAGCTGACAAAAAGTTTAGTCGGAAGCCACCTCGATTTTCCTGCCTTCTGCCAGATCCACAAGAACTGATTGAAATTAAAAACAAAAAGAAGGTAAATGCAGATACCCCCAGGACTCAGTTTTTGCTATCCTAGCTGGGTGTCCTTTCTAGGGTTTTCCGTCCCAGAGAATGAAGGAGAATTTAGTAGCTCATCATGCAGCTTCCTAAGGAAGCTTAGAGCTTGTTGCGACTTCAGCAGTCACCTGGTCTCTTTTGAAGCCCTTCCTTACTCCTTACTAAGCTGTGTAAGCCCTACTTAGGTATACACTACTGTATGCCCCTGGGCAAATGCTGCCCTCATTGACAGCCAGATGTTAATTGGTGATGGCAAGAACTCTGGGAACTAAAGTGATGTGGGTCATTGAAGGTTACTGGTCAACTTGAGCTCTGGAGTGATGATTGGCAATAAGAGGAATTGACATTTATTCTGGTGCTTTAGTAAAGTTCAAATAAATGTGCCTTTGGTTTTCTTAACACAGAAAAAAAACCTTCTATTTTAACTCTTTCTTCTTATTGTTGCCAGCTTAAATAACTGGTTTGTATGTACCCTTGAATACAGGGCTGTGACTGAATAGATAAAAAAGTTGAAATATTATCTCTGTTCAGCTTGCCTTTCCAACCCCAGGACCGTAAGAGCTAAGAAACCAAGGAAAGATGGGGAATCCAAGCTAGGCTAGCATCAAGATGCTGGCTATGAACAGATGACAGAGTTGACTGTAAAACTGGGGAGAAGAAAAGCTTCTCTAATCTTTCTTTTGCATAATGCACAAGTTATTGGAGAGAAAGCTGTGCATCTTGAGCACTCAAAAAAGAAGTGAAAAGGAGCTTCTCAGTTAATTTCAGTTAGATACAATGATTGGCGAAAGCTAGGACTGTAGCTCCAACCTTAGTTCTAGGTCACTTAGAGTCCATTAAGTGACGCTGTTAGCTTTGATAGAGTCTGGCCTGTCTGCCTCAGAGACAGAGCAGCTTCTGACAACTAGTATTTCTTCTCTAGCTGCTGATCACTGGCACAGAGCAGTTCAATCAGAAACCAAAGAAGGGGATCCAGTTTCTGCAGGAGAAGGGCCTTCTCACAATCCCAATGGACAACACAGAGGTAGCCCAGTGGCTCCGAGAAAACCCTCGGCTAGACAAGAAAATGATTGGAGAGTTTGTGAGTGATCGCAAAAACATTGACCTGTTGGAGAGCTTTGTGAGGTGAGGAAGTTCCAAGAAATATGGGACAGTTGGTGATTATTCTGAAGGGCCAGGACACCCTCCCCTCTAAGCAGGCTTAGCAGTTCCTGCAGAAGACCCAGTTCACTCACTCACTCTTCTCATCATGTATATTTATTAGACCTGAAAGAGTCTCCAGCAAGATCATTTTGGGAGCCTACTCCATTCTGCACAGAGAATGTGTTCCTGAGTACATGATAGATTCTGGGTGCCAGTAGATGAGGTTTTTAGGCATGAAAATACTGATGTGAAAAAGTACTAAGGTTAGATGTTGTTAATTTCTGCTCTGTGTTTGAAGTAACCTGGAGATACTTCCCTGTGGCCAGAGCCTCTTCTTTTCTGTTGGAGAGGGTTAAAGGGAAAGTTGAGAGTGCAAAACATACAGTTTACACATCTTTAGCCTCTTTGTTCTTCCTTTTTCCCTTGTAGTACCTTCAGCTTTCAGGGTCTTCGGTTAGATGAAGCTCTCCGCCTCTATCTGGAAGCCTTCCGCTTGCCTGGGGAAGCACCAGTCATCCACAGGTTACTGGAAGCATTCACAGAGCATTGGAGGGTGAGTTTGAATGGCAGGTACGGAGATCAGTATCCCAAGTTAATTTGACTGAGGTCTTATATAACTCCAACTAAAGAACCCAGCTATCTCCTCAGAAGACTGAGCAATGTCAGTAAACTTTCCATAGAGAAGCCAGCTATTGTTAAAGAGTTGACAGAAGATTGGCTGCCTTCCTCCTAGCACCTCCTCTCTATGCTAGCATTGAGTGGGTATTGAGGATTTAATGGTAGAGAAAGGCATTGACAAAGGTGGGGTCTTTGCTTTTTCAGAATTGTAATGGCTCCCCATTTGCCAATAGTGATGCCTGCTTTGCCCTGGCCTATGCTGTCATCATGCTTAATACTGACCAGCATAACCACAACGTTCGCAAACAGAATGCACCCATGACGCTGGAGGTAAGCCAAGGCAGACGAGAGCCAGCACAGCTTTGGACGTAGCAGGAAGCACATGAGCTATCTAGTAGGCATAATGGACAAATTTCTGTCCGAAGCAGTCAGGGAGGGTGGGCCAATCTAGAAGGGGAGGTGGGTCCTTTCATTTACTATTTCCTAAGTTTTATTCACCACAGTCCAAGGAAGTCCTTGGGTGGGACTTTAGCATTGATACATGGTGGGAAAGAGGGGAGGCAGCAGAACTGATTGGTCTGTTTCTAGGAGTTTCGAAAAAACCTAAAAGGTGTGAATGGAGGCAAAGATTTTGAGCAAGACATCCTGGAAGACATGTACCATGCCATCAAGTATGTATGAACAATAGTGTAGCATTTCTGTTAAGGAGAAATACATTTCTTCCTTTCCCATATTTTTTTTTTTTAAGATTTATTTATTTATTCATACAGAACTGGGGTACAGGCCAGAGATGTGGAGGGTGAGAGGATTCAGCAGAGACAGAGTGGGGAGCAGAACAGGCAGATCAACGAAGTACACTGCTGAGGGGAGCAGCGGGCGGGTCAGGAGAGGTCTGCCACGCCATGTGGTCACCTCCGGGGCAGGCGGGGATCGAACTCATGCGAAAGTGGCTTAAGCTTCTTAGTGCAGTGCTTTAACCCGCTGCGCCACCAGGGAGGGCCTCCTTTCCCATATTTTAAGGTCACCTCAGACTGCAATGACTCATGCCCTTGAGTTAGGTGGACAGCACCCTCTCTCCCAACTCATTTCTTCCTTAAAGGAGTCTGAACAATATAGAGACTCAAATGTTGTAAGACAGTATCCAAACTACCCCTGCTAAGTGAAATGTCATGAGCCCACTCTCTAAACCCAAAGCAGCTGTGTTTTCATACCTAGTTCACAAGATGTTTTCTGGGGATGATAGAGAACCCAAAAATGAGTATTAGAAGATGGACTTTGGTCAGAGGTCAGAAATGCGACATTGAATTCTAATTATAAATCAGAAAAGGTAGAGAGAATTGCTCATCCAGAAGAAATATAAGATCTAACAGCCCCACTTAGAGATAGGACCTTGAGATGGTATGTGTATTTGTGGGGGAGGAGGGTAGTAGTGGACTGTGGGACCCTTCCTTTCTTTCTCCCTTGTGGGGAGGAAGCAGACCAAAGTTGCAGTTTTGATGACCTCTCGGTAATGGAGAATGCCCATATGGGCAAAACCCATGTCCTAGTTTGAACCAGTCAGATTCACAGTGGTGCACTTATTTCTTCCTGTATCTTACAGGAATGAGGAAATTGTGATGCCTGAGGAGCAGACAGGTTTGGTTCGGGAGAACTATGTATGGAATGTGCTGCTTCATCGAGGTGCCACCCCAGAGGGCATATTCTTACGTGTGCCTGCTGGCAGCTATGATCTTGACCTCTTCACCATGACCTGGGGCCCTACTATTGCTGCTCTTTCTTATGTCTTTGACAAAAGCCCTGAGGAGACCATCATCCAAAAAGCCATCTCAGGCTTCAGGTAGCCCAGCCTTGACCTTAATCTTGATTTCTCTCTGCCTTTCTATGCTAACATGGTTCTTTCATGCCTCTGTAACTCTTATTCTTGTTCTCATTAGAATGGGTTCCTCCTGAGTTTTTTGGGGAAGGCTAATGCTTGGGAAAGCTCAGTCTTAAAACAGACTGAAGAATAAAAGGTTTCTTCCTGGGACTGATTAGGGAAGAATCCCAAGCCAGCCTCCTGAGGGATTTGGAAGGGCTCCCTGGCCTTCCAGTGACTGTTTTCAATGGGGGTGATGTTACAGGAAATGTGCCATGATCTCCGCCCACTATGGCCTCAGCGATGTATTTGACAATCTCATCATCTCCCTGTGCAAATTCACAGCTCTCAGCAGCGAGGTAAGCAAGAATTGTTCTAAGAGTTTGAAAGCAAGACCTTTCTTTTAGTCATATACCCATCCCTATATGCAGAACTGGTTTCTCTCAGCATATTCCCTCACCCTCCTTTGACTACAGTAGAGCTTAAACACCTCTGCCTTGTACAACTTATGATAAAAATAGTGTTGTAGTGGGGATGGGAGAAGAGTTGCAACAGTAAGGAAGGCCTTAACCAGGTTAGCCCTCCCACCAGTGTCATGAGGGATTGAAGCAGAGCCAGCAAAAGGACCCTCAAGGGACTAAAAGTGGAGACCTAAGAGTCTCCTTTCCAAGCATTTGCCACACCCCAAACCTCTTCTCTTCTTCTTTTCTAGTCTATTGAGAATCTGCCCACTGTGTTTGGAAGCAACCCTAAAGCCCACATTGCAGCCAAGACAGTTTTCCATTTGGCCCACCGTCATGGTGACATCTTGAGAGAGGGCTGGAAGAATATCATGGAAGCCATGCTGCAGCTCTTTCGAGCGCAACTGCTACCCAAGGCTATGGTAGAGGTAATTCTTGGTAGGAGACTGAGTGACAATAAAAAAGCAAGAACTCCAAGATTGTGTGCTGTCTCTATAGATATACTTCATTGAGAGTAGCACTGGGCCTGATAACCTGCCAAAGGAACACCTCAAATATAAGATTGCAGATCTCAAGCAAGGGGATAGCTGTAAACGAAGCTGGTAGAAGCCTCTGCTGTCACCAGAGGTGTGCACCAGTCAACAGTATACGGCAGGGAGCTAAAGGAAGAAAACCAGAGAACTTTGCATGGGAAACAGGAAATGCAAAGAGCGTATAGAGAGAAATTTTTCCTGACCTGCTTTTCCAGGTAGAAGATTTTGTGGATCCCAATGGCAAGATATCACTACAGCGAGAAGAGACACCATCAAACCGGTGAGGGTAGATCAGAGGCTGAAGGCCTTGGGAAGAGGGAAAATCAGAACTCTAGAGCTTATCCGGGCTTGTGTTCTTTTTCTGCAGAGGAGAATCAACAGTGCTGAGCTTTGTGAGCTGGCTGACACTAAGTGGTACTGAGCAGTCTAGTGTACGGGGACCATCCACCGAGAGCCAGGAGGCCAAAAGAATGGCCTTGGACTGTATCAAGGTAACTGCCTGGTGAAGAAGCCTTGACCCCTCCCTATGGGACAGATGGTGTCCTGGGAACTGAAAAAGAGAATTATCCAGGACAGTGACCAGAACTCACCTCTTCTTTCCTCTCTTTCTGGCTCTTTGGGACATTTTCTTCCCTTCAGCCCTTGTCACTGACCTCCTTGCTCATGTGCCCTTTTTTAGCAATGTGACCCAGAAAAGATGATCACAGAAAGCAAGTTCCTCCAGCTAGAATCACTGCAAGAGCTGATGAAGGTACAGAAGGAAGAGGAAAGAGGGAAGTGCTGACTGGGTCTGGGAAGAAAGATGGGAATAGTGGTTATGCCTCAATTTTTGTCAGGGCAAGCGCAATGCCTGGCTTCTCTTCCATGTCTACTTCCCTGCTATTGTTCTTTTCTAGGCTCTAGTCTCAGTGACACCAGATGAAGAGACATATGATGAAGAGGATGCTGCTTTCTGTCTGGAGATGCTACTGAGAATTGTGCTGGAGAACAGGTAGAAGGCACCCTTTACTCATACTGAACTTGTGCCAAAAGGATGGAAGCCTGGAGCAGCTTGCTGAGTGGGTTTTGGGGCAAAAAAAAAACCCAAAAAACACATGAAGGTGTAGAAAGTAGAGAAGCTTGCTCATTAGCCTATTATACTCTGAAAGGCCTAGCCTGAATCAGAAAGGGAGGCTATTACCCAGTGACCTCTCCAACTAAGTGTCCTCATCCTTTATGTTCCTCAGGGACCGTGTGGGCTGCGTGTGGCAGACTGTTCGAGACCACCTATACCACCTGTGTGTCCAGGCCCAAGATTTCTGCTTTCTTGTGGAGCGGGCTGTGGTGGGGCTACTGCGCCTGGCCATTCGGTTACTCCGGAGAGAAGAGATCAGTGGCCAGGTAAGCAGAGTGCAGCCGGGAGGGCAGGAACGTACGCAGGGGACTAGAGCCACAGTGGCAGTTATGGACAGGGCCTGAAACAGAGTTAGTGCCCCACTGTAAAAGCACCTGACCAACCACATAACTGATAGAATCTAACAGATTGCTTTGGGGTGTTTCTGGAATAGCCTCAGTCATGAAGCTAGTGCTCATACCCCTGCTGCCTTGTGGCAGTCCCAGTCCTACACCTGGTCTCCTATCTCTTATGCTTAATAATCCCAAGGTCTTTGGGCACAAGCATGAAGACAATTAGCTATAGAATTAATTTACAGGTTCAACAGGATATAAGATCAACACACAAAAATTAATTATCTTTCTATATACCAAGAGGAACATGGGAAATGAAACTAAGTGCCCCAATAAAATGAATTAGATATACACATAACAAAACATGCATTGGATCTGCATGCTTAGAGTTATAACATTTTTTTAAAAGATTTATGTTTGTTTATTCATGCATATGAATATGAACTTGGGTGCAGATCAGAGGTGCAGGGGGTAAAAGGATTCATCAGAGACAGAATAGAGAGCAGAACAGGAGGATCTACTGGAATACACTGCTGAGGGGAGCAGTGGGCAAGATAGGAGAGGTCTGCTGTGCCATGTGGGTCAGCTACCTGGCCGGGGATTGAGCTCAAGTCAGTGGTGGGTGATAGCTTGCTAGTGCTGAGACTTTAACACCTGCATCACCAGGGAGGCCTGAGAATTATATTAATGAAAGACCTAAATAAATAAAAAGGCATACTATATTTGTCAATTAGAAGACTCAGGTTAATAAAGATATCAGTTCTCCCCCAAATTGATCAGTAAATTTAAAAAACTCTTACCAATATCTGAATAAGACTTTGTGTATACAGACAAACATAAAATTTTGGAAAAGTACAGGCCAAAGAATAGTCAAATATCTGCAGAAAGGAGAATATCAGAAAACTCATTCCATTTGATTTTTTTTTTTTAATAGAACTTGAATATAGGCCAGAGGCATGGGAGTTTGAGAGGATTCACCAGAGATAGAGTGGGGAGCAGAACAGACAGGTTTCCCAAAATACAGTGTTAAGGGGAGCAGTGGGCAAGACAGGAGAGGTCTTCTTTGTCATATGTGGGCTAGTTCCCTGGCCAGGATCAAACCCAGGCCATAGTGGTGACAGCACTGAGATGTAACCCCTAGGCCAACAGGGAGGCCTCCATTTGATGTTAACTAAGGCTTACTAAGTGATCAAGACTGGGTGGTATTGGTGGTTTTGCATAATGTTACCATTGGGGTAAAGTAGGCAAAGTATATAAATAAGGGACCTCTTTGTATTATTTCACATGCACATCAGTAATTATTTCTATAAGAAGATGTTTAAAAACTGGAAAAAAATAAGACCAGTGCAGTATCCTAGGTTGGGTCCTAGCCACACTCCCTGCTGATCTAAGGAGACTCGAGACTGGTGGAAAAGTTGTGTGCCTATGTCCAATTTCCTGCTTCCCATTTCCCCACCCCTATCCCAGGTACTGCTTTCCCTGCGCATTTTGCTACTGATGAAGCCCAGTGTGCTGTCCCGGGCTAGCCACCAGGTCGCCTATGGCCTCCATGAACTCCTCAAAACAAATGCGGCCAACATCCATTCAGGGGATGACTGGGCCACCCTCTTCACTCTGCTGGAATGCATTGGCTCAGGTGTGAAGCCTCCAGCAGCCCTGCAGGCCACAGCCAGGACCGATGCACCTGATGCTGGTAAGCCCTTTCCCAGGGAAACCCACACTGGCAGATAAACAATTTTGGTTCCAGGGATTGAAATAGAAAAAACAAAATACAAGTTATCACAATTGGCAGATTAAACACGCCTGGCTTCTGCCACTGCCTCAAGAGCTGCTCGTGCTCCTGGCCTCTCCCCAGTACCCACTGGTTAAACAACAGTAAGGCAAGTAGACATGGAGGAGACTATGAAACTAGGCTTTCTACTGCCCTAAGGATTGCTCTCACAGACTGTCCTCACCACCACACCCTCCCTGACAGCTGCTCCTAGAGGCCATCTGGGGCCCAAATTAGCCTGCCCTATTTGGTTAAAAGAGAAGCTGTCCGAAAGAGAAAGAAAAATACCGGATGGTTTCACTCATAGCAGGAGTATCATGGACCAGGTGGAAAATAATAAAAATAATGAACAACCATATACCAGAGACATTTTGTGGGGGTGGAGTGGGGAATGGGATCAAAAATGGGGTGGGGGGAGGGAAATGCATGGGATTATGGTGATGGCACATGGGTGACTTGGTGATGGGAAACCCGCGGGGATTACAATTGAGATGGAAAAAAAAATGTACAAAATGATGTAAAAATAAACTTTTGTAATAAAAAAATAATAATAATAAAAAAAGGGAGAGAAGCTGTCCAGGCCCACCCTTCAGCCCTCTGGCAATGGGCTGAAATAGCTGGACCAGAGAGGAGAGGCCAAGCTTCAGCTCTTTTTTTTTCCTGATAGTCAAACTTATCCCTGTCTCAGTATCCACAGCCCCACCCTGACTCTGCCTTTCTCCCTGATTAGGAGCCCAATCAGACAGTGAACTCTCTTCTTTCCATCAAAATGATGTGAGTCTGGACCGAGGGTACACTTCTGACTCAGAGGTCTACACTGACCATGGCAGACCTGGCAAGATCCACCGATCAGCCACAGATGCTGATGTGGTCAACAGCGGTTGGCTAATGGTGAGTGAGCATATGGGCAGTGGGTGAGTTTTCCCTCCTTGACATTTGGAAAGGATTCCTGGTTTTCTGAGAGGACATCAATGACATTGAGGATCAAGGTCAAGCCCGGATCTTCTCTGTACTTTACAGGTGGGTAAGGATGACATTGATAATTCCAAGCCAGGACCTGGGACCAGCCGGCCAGGCTCCTCACCCCTGGTCAATCAGTACAGCCTAACAGTGGGCCTGGATCTTGGACCACATGACACTAAGTCCCTGCTTAAGTGTGTGGAATCACTGTCCTTCATCGTGCGTGATGCTGCCCATATCACACCTGACAACTTTGAGCTCTGCGTCAAGACTCTACGCATCTTTGTGGAGGCCAGTCTGAATGGTGGTAGGTCACTCGGTTAAAGTTAATTGAGAAGTAGCCATGTGAATATTGGGGGAGAGGGAGGAAGAGGTAAGCCATTTGTGCCCATGGGAATAGAAATGTGACCTGGGTCTGGCTCTGCTCAGGGTGCAAGTCCCAGGAAAAACGTGGCAAGAGTCACAAATATGACAGCAAAGGGAACCGCTTCAAGAAGAAATCCAAGGAGGGCTCAGTGCTTCGACGACCTCGAACATCCAGCCAGCATGCCACCCGGTGTGGACATAGTGATGACGATGAGGATGAAGGCGTGCCTGCTAGCTACCATACGGTGTCTTTACAGGTCAGTCAGGACGTAAGTATGGCACCCTTTACTACCTCTCCTCTCCTGGCACCTGACATTGGGATCCTCAATGGGGCCAGGGACCGCCAGGGCTGATAAAAAGGGCCTGTGTTTTCCAGCACAGGCTGTCAGCCACCACCTCCACCATGTTGCCATATCCAAACTACTTATCTTTGCTTGCTTAATTTTTAAATTAAAGGTTATTTATTTTTTTGAATACATAATGGATGCACATGGGACACAATTCAAAAGATACAAAAGAGTGAAATATAAGTTCCATAAAATATAAGTTCCATTCCATTCCTGTCACCAGCTATAAAATATAAGTTCCATTCCATTCCTGTCACCAGCTATTAAGTTTCCTTTGCCAGAGGTGACCAATAGTTTCTTGTTTATTCTTCCAGTGTTATTCTGTGTCTACTCAAGGCAGGTAAAATTATAAGCAGATTTTATCCTATCATTAAATAGATGGAGAGCTCATTGCCTTAAGTAGAATAACCTTAGACAATAGGGAAATAGATTGAAGCGCAGCATTATGAAGCTATCCATCACCACTGCAGCCTGAGTTTGATCCCCAACAGGGAGCTGACTCATGTGGCACAGTAGACGTCTGCTGTCTCACCCACTGCTCCCCTCAGCAGTGTATTTCACTAGATCTACCTGTTTTATTTCCCACTCTGTTGCTGGTGAATCCTCTCACCCCCTACATCTGTGGCCTATACCCTAACTCCTGTATGCATAAATAAATAAATCTTAAGAAAAAAAAACACAGTGCTCTCCTTGGCAGGCAGGACATACACTAACATTGGAACAACAGAGAGAAGATCAGTATGCCCTCTGTGTAAGCATGACACACAGATTTGTGAAGTGTATCATATTTAAAAATAATGAGATTTAACAAAATGAGGCTTTATCATCAGAAGGTGTAAAAGAATCAAAAGTACTTTCTCAGAGTGTTTCAGTGCTCCGCATACCTCCTTGAGTCCCTCTACCAGGACTGATACTCAACAACATTGGGAAACCCAGGCCAGCGTTGGAGCAATGAGCTCATAAAGTGGAGAAGGGAGGGTGGAGTAGCAGGAGGCTGTGACTGGTTCTAGGAGCAGCCATCAGGGCTCAATCAGGGACAATGGGGGTGGCGTAAGGGTGTCCACCCATCTCCACTCATGTTCTGCTTCTCCTGTGACTTCAGTTGCTGGACCTGATGCACACACTGCACACACGGGCGGCCTCTATCTACAGCTCATGGGCAGAGGAGCAGCGCCACCTGGAGACAGGTGGCCGGAAGATTGAAGCAGATTCACGCACTCTTTGGGCCCACTGCTGGTGCCCTTTACTGCAGGGTAAACCTCCGGGAGCAGGGAGGGCAGGGGCAGAGCTGGAGCTGGAGTTTGGGAAAACCCGGGATTGGGGCGCCTGAAGGATCCTGAGCATGTTCTCACTCTCAGGCATTGCCTGTCTGTGCTGTGACGCCCGGCGCCAGGTCCGGATGCAGGCACTGACCTATCTGCAGCGGGCATTACTGGTACATGATCTGCAGAAGCTAGATGCTCTGGAATGGGAGTCCTGTTTTAACAAGGTAGGACTTTCCACCGGTCTTAAGTTAAACTTAAAGGAGATACAGACAACCTGAAGAACCCTTAATGACAATCCTCAGCCTGTAATATATCTGCCCTTCCTTCTCCTATGTACCATCCACTCTAAACTCTGACTTCCTTGGGACAAAGCTGCCAACTGCTCCTGCTAGGAAAATGTTGACTGTTTATCCCCCAGGTGCTGTTTCCTTTATTGACCAAGCTCTTGGAGAATATAAGCCCTGCAGATGTGGGTGGGATGGAGGAGACCCGGATGAGGGCTTCTACACTGCTCTCTAAGGTACTGCTCACCGCCCTGTGTCTACCCACTTTCCCTCCACCTCCCTCTTTGCAAAAAAGGAAGCCAAGGCTTCTAATAGGACATAGGTTTGCAATGTAGATGCTCAGGTCCCGGCTGTGGGGACTCTATAGGGCCTAGGGACCTGGGAGAATTCTGTAATTCGGAGGAATCGCTAAGATTTCCACACAAGATAGGGCAGGCTTGCCTCGAAGCCTTGGAGAGGGATACAGCCTTCTACCCTACCCATGGCTGAAAGGGGCTGGTGGGCCACAGGTCTTCTTGCAGCACCTGTCTCCACTGCTGTCACTCTCTACCTTTGCGGCCCTCTGGCTGACCATCCTGGACTTCATGGACAAGTACATGCATGCAGGCTCCAGTGACTTACTGGTATGTTCTACCTCAGCCCAGCATCCACTATATGCTGCTTCTGCCACCTGCTAGGAAGACTTACTATGCCCCCCCCCCCCGTCACTGCTTCCTTCTTACCATGTTCTTCCCCCATGCCTCTCCTGTTCTCCTCATCCCACTGCCACCTGCAGTCAGAGGCCATTCCTGAATCTCTGAAGAACATGCTTCTGGTGATGGATACGGCAGCAATTTTCCATAGTGCAGATGCTCGAGGAGGCAGCCCTTCAGCCCTCTGGGAGATCACCTGGGAACGTATTGACTGTTTTCTGCCCCACCTACGAGATGAGCTCTTCAAGCAAACTGTCATCCAGGGTAGGGGGCTCAGCCCAACTTCATCAAAAAAAGGCCCTCATCAAAGAGTCTAGAGCTTATTGGTTCTCTATACCATAGGGGGGTGGGAAGACTGGTGGATAGCCAGGGCTCTGCTTTAAAGAACGCATTAGGAACACCATCTGGATTATTTGCCTTCCCCAGACCCCATGCCCATGGAACCTCATACCCCAAAACCTCTGGCCTCAGCCCACCTGACCCCTGCTGCTGGTGACACCAGAACACCTGGCCATCCACCTCCTCCAGAGACGCCCTCTGAACTGGGAGCCTTAGGTGAGTCCCTCTGGGCTAGCTGGCTAGGTGTTAAGTGAGAAGCAAAAGGCCCAAGATATGGTCCCAGGTAGTTCTGGATTGCTGCTGAGCCTAGGCTTTGGGCCAGAAAAGAATCATGTTTGCTTGCTCTTCCTATGGGATATGGCAAGACCAAATAAGCTATAATGAGTTTGCTGCTTGAGACTTTTTAGGTTTGGAAGAAGGCTGGGTCAGGGATTTGGATTAAACATGTAGAGATTGCCCTTCAGGGATTCTAGTCAAGGCCAGGCCAAAATTAACCTGATTGGGGTTCTAGCAAAGGAGGTGGAGAAAAAAATATAAGGTAATGATTTATGAGTAGAGATTCCCAACTGTTCAGCCTGGAAAAGCTCATTTTGCTCAGAAGTGGAAAGGGGTTTTGGTAACCCAACTGGATAATGTAAAGGAGTCTGACTATAGCTACCTTGCTCTCCTATAGACTTTGAAAAGCCTGAGGCCCCCCGACCTACCAACAGCAGTTCCCCTGGATCACCAGTGGCCTCTAGTCCCAGCAGGCTGAGCCCTACTCCAGATGGGCCTCCACCTCCACTGATCCTGCAGCCCTTGGCCTCCCCACTGCAGGTGGGTGTGCCACCCATGACACTTCCCATCATCCTCAACCCTGCTCTCATCGAGGCCACTTCGCCAGTACCCCTCCTGGCCACATCCCGCCCCACAGACCCCATTCCCACCTCCGAGGTCAACTAAGGCAGACTCCTCAGATATCAAGACCAGTACTTCCTTCCAGATTGCCCCCAGCAACCCCCTTCCAGCTGTCTCAGAGGCCACAAACTCTTCAGGCCCAGCCCAAGCTGCTCTTAACTGCTAGTTGGATGGGGACCGAAAAAGAGAACTATTATAGCCCTTTCTGGGAACCACAGTTAGGTTGCAGGAACTTCTTCCTCTGCTCTCCATTTCTGGGGGTCCAACCTGAGAGCACACTCAGGTATCACCTGCAGCCTGACAGCTCTGGGGAGGTGTCACTGCCTTCCCTGCAGTGCCCACCCTGCTGTCCATGGTCAGGCATTGAGAGCCAAGCCAACCACTCTGCACTTTGTTTCCCTCTCCCATCTTCACTCCCATCAGCCCTGGGCCACCTCCTCCAGTTCTTCCCCTTTTATTAATCAGTTGGTCAGTTTGGAGAGTTAATTGGCACCTTGGAAGATGGGGAGGTGGGGCTGGACAGGGGGACTACCCACAGGAGCATGTACATATAGGAAAACTATGGACTTTTTATGGTATAATAAATGTCTTAGTACCAATATCGTTGCCTTTCCCTCTGGTTTCCTTCTTAAGCTTTTATAAGTAGGATGTTTATTAGGATACCTACAGTTTGGGCCTTGCATGAACAGAAGGGAGGCTGAGCCTGCCAAAAGTGGCTCTTGACCACCAGCCAGCCAGATACCATAATTTCACCATTGCTGCCATCGCCACCACAGCAGTGCACCTTTGTCATCAGGAATGTGCCAGGAACTTGGGGAGTTAACCTCTTTACTAACTGCTCCAAGGAGACATCTGAGAACACCTGGACTTGGGTCAGAGGCAAGATGAACCAGAGGGAAGATAAACCTTGGAAATGGGAAATAGCCTGGTGTGGAAAAATGCTAACAAGCGTCCTGAAGCTCGTCTTCCATCTTCCCTGGTTTCCATAGCTAAACAAGCTTTGCCTGACCAGCCACTGGGAAAATCAGGAATATGATTATGCTGCTCTCTGCACCTTCTAGTACGAATGCAGAAAAGTCTGGATTATGTATGAGGGCCCTTGGCTCTAGCCATGATGTCTCTGTTCTCCCACCTGAGCCCCACAAGTTCTACCTTTAGAAGCTTCCTTTTGTTTCCCTGTGGGGAAAATGATGTTAGCAGCTATTTAAAAAAAAAAGTCTGAAAGGAATCCTGTGACAAAAGAATATGAATATTCTGTCCCTCAGTTGATCTGCAGATAGGAAAGTGCAGCAATTACAAACTGACTCTTGCTAAGTAGCAAAGAAGTGTGTAATTCATCAGAAATCTCATTCTGATATACAAAGAATAGCTGACACATACATGACTGTGCCATTGATGGTGTCATCTCTGAGAAGGTAAGGGAAGTTACTAGAGAAACTAGTAGTCAGGCTATAATTCTGACCAACAGAAAGAACGGTGTGTTGATGTGAAAAAATAATCTTGGGAAAGTAATAGTGGATTAAGAGGGAAATGCTAATCTTATTGATGTACCTAAAAGAATTCAAATAACACTTCAGAAATTCCAAAGGAAAACTAGAGGCTAAGACCCTAACATAGAGAAGTAACATTGTTAGGGCACGTGTGTGTGTTAATAAGTACATTACTCACACAAACTCATGGTGTAAGAGATGTTTACTCTTGTAAATGAGGAAGCAGGTTCAGAGAGGGGAGGGAAAGTCATGAAGTAGGGAGTTGAGACTCAAACCCTGGTCTGTCTAAACTCTAAACTTCATGGTTTCCTATGACACTTCCTCAATTCAAAAAGGAGGGACTGAAGAAACTCCTCAGGTATTTACAGTTTCTTTAGCTTCTCATGCAAAATGAAAGGTTAAGCACTGAAGAAACAGACTGTTATCTAGTGACCTAAGCGTTCACTACAAAATCACACAATCAAGAACAAGTGTGAATTTTCTAAGTACATAATATCAGAAGAAGAAGAATTACAGAATTATCTACAATGGGGACATGGCTTTTCCTTCCCATCCCCCCGAATGGTGGGAACAACAGAAAACTTGGCTGTCTAAGCCTTGGACTATTTACTGTTTACCTTACTCAGGGCTCACTGTGGCTGTGAGAAAGCAGAACCCTTCATCCCCTGGGCTTCATTTGAGGGGGAGAAGAAACTTTAGTTCAAGTAAGCAGTTCATTACCTCCTCCTTGAAATATTCTTCATTGGGCTTCTGAAACAGTGCTTTTTCTTCTCCACTTATTGGCCATGATTTTCAGTTTTCTTCGTTGGCCCCTCATCTCCACAGCCTCAGAATAGAAGAATGTCCCAGGGCTCAGACTTTGTCCTCCAATCCTTTCTCTACACGTCATCACCAGGGAATGCTGTCCACTGTCAAGACTACTATCTAACATACCACCTTCAAATCCTATCATACCACCTTCAAATCCAGCCACCCCTCAGCATCTCTACTTAACATGCCTCCTAGATTCTCAAATGTAACAATCTTTTTTTAATTATTTGGAGGGAGTGAATATTCAAAGATTATATGATGTATAGCACAGAACCTTCCTCTTCATGTCATTCAAAAGACTTCTAAATATTCTTCAATGAAAAAAGGGGGGCATTCTTTATTACCCACTTCATCCTCTATTTTGTCCCCCAATTTCTTCTGAGGTCCTTATGCTAAAAACCTTCCCCTCTTTTCTTGCATCCTGCATCCAATTACTCAGTAAGTCTTGTTGCTTCTATCTTTCACATCTATTTAGAACATGATTATTTCTTACCATCCTCGTTTACAACCACCCAAGTCTAAGCCACCATCTATCGGTCTCCTCATTCATTAGTCCCACATGCTCTATGCTCTACTCTCCACACATCAGCCAAATGAATCTTTTAAAACCAGTTACTACGCTGTTCAAAAACCTCTAATGACCTTCCATCTCATTCAGAGTAAAATTTAAAGTTCTTTATCCCATCTAACCTTGTTCTCAAATATGCCAAACAACATTAGACCTTTAAAATCTAGTCTCTCCATCTGGAATGCTCCCTACATATCCATGTAACTTCCTCCTATTTTTCTTTTTTCTAAAGATTTATTTAATACTAGGGTACAGATCAGAGGTGCAAGGGGTGTGAGAGGAGAAGAACAGACAGATCTACCGAAATACACTGCTAAGGGGAGCAGCGGGTGGTCAGGAGAGGTCTGCGGAACAATGTGGATCAACTCCCTGCCTGAATTCATGCTGCAGTGGCTGTGGACAGCTTCATAGTGCTGTTCTTTAATCCACTGCACTACCAAGGAGGGCCTCTTCCTCAATTTTTTTAAGCCACTGCTCAAATTGTAACTCACCAGAGACGCCTTCCCTGGGAGCTGTCTCTTCCAAAGTGCCTGAGTAAGAAAAGAACTGAGATGCGTCTCTTTTCCGCTCCGAGAGGTCGCCAGATGGCGCCCTGATCCGGCCGCAAGATAACTTCCTTCCCCTAACTTTTCCCGGCAGCGGGGCTCTGCTCCCGGCGGGGAGAGTTCTAGGGCACTCCAGCTTCCCCCTGGGGTTCCCCGGCGCTCAAGTCGCCATGCATTAGGCGCCGCCTAAGCGGTGGGTTGCCACGAGTCTGGGGCTGGCCCGGGTAGGTTGAGAAGGTCGGAATCAGTATTCTACCATGGTACCGCGGCCGGTTAGCGGATCCAGCTTGGAACTGGACCCCAGGTCCCAAACGCTGGTGCTTCGTTGATTCTCATCCCGGGCTCCCCGCTCTCAGCGTTGTGCGGGCCCTTTAAGGGGCGCGCCCGTGTCGCTCCCGATTGGCTGCGCGAATCATTGAGTTAAAAACTTTAAGCCAATGAAAAGGGTGTAGGGGCGTGACGCACGGAAACGTCATGGGAATTCCCCCCTCCCGGGGGCGGAAAAGGGGCTTTCCCGGCTGGAGTTCTAGTGGCCAAAGTGTTTAGACCCGGTCCAAGGTGGGTCGGACCTGGAGAGAAGCCGGAACTGGAGCCGCCGCCGCGGTGAGTGACCGGCTTCAGGCCCTTGAGTGGCCGGGACACGGGGAAGGACGGGAGGAGGGACATTAACTGACCCAACCCCTGGGCCAGAACGCGGCATAGGCACACCCACGGAAAGCGCGCACACGAACAAGACTCACCAATACACACCTGCAAAAGTACCAAGACACGCGGGCCGGTACGTACACCTACATGTATGCCGGCTTGTGCGCAGTAACGTCCATGCAAACTCGCATACATGTGCACACACAAACATGTTCATCAGTGCACAGGCGCCGGGATCGCCTTTCACGCACAAATTCAAATATAGGTTCACCGGTGCCCTTGCATATGAAGACACGTTCACATATGTCTACAGTGGGAAGAATAAGGACACTAACCTGTACACAGACGTGCTACCTGACACACGCACGTTGACTCCATGCACACGCAAAACACCGAGCACATGGGCCGAAACACACTTGTTTACCTGTGATGAAGACATACACATGTATAACTGCACACGACTTTGGGGTTTGGGCACCCAGAGCAGATGCAATGTGGGAACCAACGGTTGTTAAAAGGTTTCAGGGAGAGAAAATAGAGGTGCCTAGCCCAAAGAGGAAACCTCTTTCCTCTCCCTGCCGCGAGGCCCCAGAGTCCCGCTCTCTGGGGAGAACCTTAGGGCCCCCCACTGGGAAGAGCCCCCGCCTACAGGCCTTCAGAGAAAAGGACTTCGTACATCAGAAATACCCCCCAAAAGCCCCCGGGGTGAATCAGCCGTGGCCTCCCTCGAGTAGAAAATCCCAAGGTTGCTCCAGGACCCAAGCAGGGCATGGGGCGGGAAGTGGGCCTGGCTACGGGCTAGGAGCCTCCGGCTGTGAAAGACCCACTCGCCCCGGGCGCCTGCCTTGGAGAGAAAACAGGGAGCCAACCCCCACAGGGGCTTCCCTGGGTCTGGTTACTCCTCCGCGGACTGAGGCTTCGGGCACCCACTGAACTGCTTAGACCTCGCGCCCCTCCCGCCGTGGAGGCGTGGCCAGTGGCGTCATTTCCAGGACCGCCCCCTTCGGCCCCGCCTCCCCCTGGTATTTTCGGGACTTTCCTAAACTGCTCTAACTTTCCTGCCCCTTCCCCGGCGGGGCCCAGCCCTGCCCTGCCCAACTCCGGATCTCTGAACTGGCCCTTCACCGGATCTCGCCCGCCACACCCGGACGGGTGGCCGGAGGAGATCGGACCCTCCCCAAAATCTGGGCTCCCTTTCTCCCCCAACTACGGTCCTGATCTCTCTTTCCCTCCCACCGCCACTCGCCCCACCCCCCTTTTCTCCCGCACCTAAGGCGGACGCCTGAAACTGGGAAACAGAACCGGCGGGAGCCACCAGACAGAGCCGGGCTTAGCCCAGAAACATGGACAGTTGCTACGGCCCAGTGAGTCATGCCAGCTGGCCTCAAAGCCGGCCCCCCCACCCAAGTCTGTCTGCTTGTTCGCCTGTCTGTCGGAGTCCCCTATGCTCCCCTGCATCTGTAATGCCCTTAGATTACCTCAACCTGCCTGTGAGAATCAGTCTGTCTGCAAACTGCTTCTGGTAGTTTTCTTATGGGCCTGGGGAGGCGAAAGAGTGATTACCTGTGGCTGGGAGATAGAAGGCTCAGAATTAGCTGCCACCCCTGTCTGTCTCCAAACCAGGGTCTAGATGGCATTATTGAATATGATGATCTCAAATTCAACCCATCCATTGTGGAGCCCAAGGAGCTAGCTCCAGATACAGGTTAGTAAATCCCCTAACCTCCCGTTGTCTTGGAGAGAGTGGGAGGGTGAACTTGTGCCCTCTGTGTTGGGGGTGGGCACAGAGATCCTAGCTCAGCAAGGCCCTTCTGTCTCCAGCTGATGGCCCTTATCTGGTGATCGTGGAACAACCTAAGCAGGTGAGTGGAAGCTTCTGCTTTGAGAACAAGTGGGATAGTTGTAGCTGGGTGGTCATGGGAAGGGTCACTGACCACAGAGGCTACGCTGGTTGAAATGGTTGGCTGCTGATGGTCACAGTAATGTGGCTGTAGCTCAGGATAGATGTTTCATCATTACTGTCATGCTGGCTGGGGGTATGGGGACTGGGAAGGGTCTCTCCTGGTCACCATGTCACTCTGCTCTGGGACCTTCAGAGAGGATTCCGATTTCGATATGGCTGTGAAGGTCCCTCCCATGGGGGACTACCAGGTGCCTCCAGTGAGAAGGGACGGAAGACCTATCCCACTGTCAAGGTGAGTCCGAACAGTGCTGGGGGGTAGGCTAGCATGGCCAAGGACATCACTGACAGCCCTCACCTACCCCCCCCAGATCTGTAACTACGAGGGACCAGCCAAGATTGAAGTAGACCTGGTAACACACAGTGATCCACCTCGTGCTCACGCTCACAGTCTGGTGGGCAAACAGTGCTCGGAGCTGGGGGTCTGCGCCGTGTCTGTGGGGCCCAAGGACATGACAGCCCAGTAGGTACCCCCAACCCCTGGTCCTTACTGGCACCCTCATTACCTGCCAGTCCTTGGCCCCAGCCCACCACTGTGAGCTTATTAGCATTTAACCGAGGGAAGAAACATAGGTTGGTCCCAGAACCAAAGGCCCTATGGAAAAACCAGAACAGTTCCCTAGAGGAAGTAGGGCTGAGCTGAGCCCTGGCTGTGGTGAGGGTGCCTCAGGAAGAATGAACTGTCTACAAGGCCCCTGACTCCTCCTCCCCTCACCAGATTTAACAACCTGGGTGTCCTGCATGTGACCAAGAAGAATATGATGGAGATTATGATACAAAAGCTTCAGAGGCAGCGACTGCGCTCCAGGCCCCAGGGCCTTACAGGTAAGGGGATGAGGGGAGCGTGGGAGGTGGTCATAACAAGAGCAGGGAAGGAGGAATAGTTCAGAGGTCATGTGTTTGCCCACTGCTCAGAGGCTGAGCGGCGGGAGCTAGAACAGGAGGCCAAAGAACTGAAGAAGGTGATGGATCTAAGCATCGTGCGGCTGCGCTTTTCTGCCTTCCTCCGAGCCAGTGACGGTTCCTTCTCCTTGCCCCTGAAGCCAGTTATCTCCCAGCCCATTCACGACAGCAGTGAGTATGCTGACAGCCTGAATACCAGAGGGAGCACAGGGGAGGGGTCTCAAGCTATGGAGTCAGGTAGGCCTGGATATGAACTTGGCCCTGTCGTGGATGAGCTGAGTGACTCTGAGCCCTTCTCAGAGCATGGCTTCCTCCTGGGTAAGTGAAGATACTACCAGTTCCTCACCTCTTGGTGTAGAATAATGATACAAAGCACCTAGCTACACAAGTGGGGCCATGGTGGTTAGTATCATTCCAATTAATTTATATCCCACCACCCTAGAGTCTCCTGGGGCCTCGAACTTGAAGATTTCTCGAATGGATAAGACAGCTGGCTCTGTGCAGGGTGGAGATGAGGTGTATCTACTTTGTGACAAGGTGCAGAAAGGTGAGGCTAGAGTCCACGCTGGGAGCTAGAGACCTTAAGTGTCAATATTTGGGACCAGGGAAGCACCAGGACAAAGGCCCTGGGATTCCACTAGGAATGTGGCCAAGCTTCAATTTTCCCTGTAGATGACATCGAAGTCCGGTTCTATGAAGATGATGAGAATGGATGGCAGGCCTTTGGGGACTTCTCTCCCACAGATGTTCATAAGCAGGTACTCTAGGGCCGGGAGCAGAGCGAGACCGGAGCTAGGAGCTAGTGCTGAACTAGCCATTCCCAATGTCACCTTATGTGCTTCTTCCCCGAAGTACGCCATTGTGTTTCGGACACCTCCCTATCACAAGATGAAGATTGAACGTCCTGTCACCGTGTTCTTGCAGCTGAAACGCAAGCGTGGGGGCGATGTCTCTGACTCCAAACAGTTCACCTATTACCCTCTGGTGGAAGGTGGTACTGGGCTGAAGATCCCAGAGGGCAGGAAGGTGGGGGCTGGGCTGGAGGGTCCCAAGAACTATCTCAGGGGGGACCCTTGAGTAAAGTCAGAAGTGGGGAAGGGTCCAGGAATGGGTGGTCCCTGAGCCAGCCTGAGAACTCTTGGGGGAAGGGCCCTTACCAAACTTAGCACCGGACTCTAGAGGCTTGGCCCACGGTGTGGTATTTTAACTTCTCATTTCCCTCTACCCCTAGACAAAGAGGAGGTTCAGCGGAAGAGGAGGAAAGCCTTACCCACCTTCTCCCAACCCTTCGGGGGTGGCTCCCACATGGGTGGAGGCTCTGGGGGCTCTGCTGGAGGTTATGGAGGAGCAGGAGGAGGAGGTGAGGAGGTATTGGTGGTGGGAAAGCAGAGGGAGGAGGGAGAGGACAAAAGTTATCTGGGAGGGTACTGGCTCCTGCCCCTTGCCCACAACCCTGCCTGTACCCACAGGTGGCAGCCTCGGCTATTTCGCCTCCTCCTTGGCCTACAGCCATTACCCGTCTGGTGGGGCCCCAATGGGCTGCTACCCGGGAGGCGGGGGCGGGGCGCAGATGGCCGCTGCATTGCCCAGCAGGGATACTGGGGAGGAAACTGCACAACCCAGCACGCCCTCAGTGAACTCCCAGAGCTCACCGCAGGCTCCGGAGCAGCTGCAGCGAGGTATGACCGGGGGTGTGGGGGGCGGGGCTGCGATGGTGATGGTGGAGTTTAGGAAGCGAGCCCACACCCACGCCTACTATCGCCCCCAGCCCAGGAATACAACAAGCGCCTGTTCGGCCTGGCACAGCGCAGCGCGCGAGCCTTGCTCGACTACGGCGTCACGGCGGACGCGCGATCGCTGCTGGCGGGGCAGCGCCACCTGCTGACTGCACAGGACGAGAATGGAGACACGTAGGTGGGAGGGAAGATGGGCGGAGTTGAGCTTCTAAGCCTGTGTCCAGCCCAAGCGCCAGATGGGCCTTGGGGTGCCCGGCTGGATAGGAAGCTGCGAAGAGCCAGGACACTCGAGTTGGGCAGACAGGTTTCAAGTTGGACTTTGCCATGTACTAGTTGTGTGTAAAGGAACCTTTCCAGATTTCAGTTTTATCAGTTCTTAAAGAGTGCAGTAAAATGCAGCTCTACCAAAAAGGTGCCCAGAAAATAAAGTCCAGTTAGTTTTGCCCTTAAGAGACATCTGGGTGGGATCTCCTCGGTGGTGCAGCATTATGAGGCTGTCCGCACGGCATGACTTCTTCCCCCCGGCCAGGGAGCTGACCCACATGGCGCAGCAGACCTCTCCTGACCCACCCGCCGCTCCCCTCAGCAGTGTATTTCAGTAGATCTGCCTGTTCTGCTCCCTGCTCTGTTTCTAGTGGATCCTCTCACCCCCTGAGCCTCTGGCATGTACCCCAGTTCGTATATGTGTAAGTCAAATAAATGCTAAAAAGAGAGAGACATCTAGGCCCCACAAGAACGAGGCAGGGTTGTGAAGGTACAGGATATTCTGAGTGACTGGCCAAAGCCTTACTCCTAAATCCTCAGGCCCCTGCACCTGGCCATCATCCATGGGCAGACTAAAGTCATCGAGCAGATAGCCCACGTGATCTGCCATGCCCCGCACCTCGGCGTTGTCAACCTCACCAACCACCTGCACCAGGTCAGGGCGCCTCCAGGTGGAGGGGTAGGGTTTGGAAGGCAGGTGGGTCTAGTCCTGGCTCACTGTATTTGTGTCCCCAGACGCCTCTGCACCTGGCGGTGATTACTGGGCAGACAAGCGTGGTGAGCTTCCTGCTGCAGGTAGGTGCGGATCCTACACTGCTGGATCGGCATGGAGACTCAGCAGTGCACCTGGCACTACGGGCAGGTGCCAGTGCCCCCATCCTGCTGCGCACCCTGCTGTGGAGTGGGGTTCCTGCCATGCCCCAGCTGCTACACATGTCAGATTTCGAGGGTAAGTTCCTCAACTGGACAAGGGTGAGGGCCGGGGAGGGGACACAGTAAGTGCCAATGATGGACATAAGGTGTCAAGGTTAGCTCGTCTGGAGGTGCAGTCCCAGATGCAGGCTGAGGATCTTGTGTCCCAGGGTTGTACCCAGTCCACCTGGCAGTCCGTGCCCGAAGCCCTGAATGCTTGGATCTACTAGTGGACAAAGGGGCTGAAGTGGAGGCTGCAGAGCGGCAAGGGGGCCGAACAGCCCTGCATTTAGCCACAGAGATGGAGGAGCTGGGGCTTGTCACCCATCTGGTCACCAAGGTGGGACAAAGGGTTATGGGAAGGGTGGGGTGGAGGGTTTCAGAGGAATCAGTGTGGTGAAGATATAAGGGTAGACACAGCCCGTTGGTTGTGCTGTGGTGATCAAACACTCCCGTCACCTTGCAGCTCCATGCCAATGTGAATGCCCGTACCTTTGCGGGAAACACACCCCTACATCTGGCAGCTGGACTGGGATCTCCGACACTCACCCGCCTTCTACTGAAAGCTGGTCAGTTTCACCTTCAGAGGTCTATGGACACAGCTGGAGGAGAAAAAACGGTGCCTCCCAACACCCCCCCAACTTTGAGTTCCTTAATATAGATTCCCACTGAACCTCCCTGCAACTGCCTCCCCCAGGTGCAGACATCCATGCAGAGAACGAGGAGCCCCTGTGCCCACTGCCTTCGCCCCCCACCTCTGATAGCGACTCAGATTCTGAAGTGCCTGAGAGGGACACCCCAAGCAGCTTCCGGGGCCACACACCTCTTGACCTAACTCGGAGTACCAAGGTGAGACCTGCCTGGAACTAGAAACACCCAGGGACAGAGCATGTGGTCTTAGGGGTGGGGTCCAGAGTACCTGGGCTTCAGGGCTAGGGTGGCAGGTAGTCAGGCTCAGGCTGTCTCTCCAGGTGAAGACCTTGCTGCTAAATGCTGCTCAGGACACCATGGCACCCCCCCTGACCCCACCCATACCTGCTGGTAAGAGCTCTTCACTGTTGCCAAACCCCAGACCCCTGCTCAGAGATCTTGTCTCCTTCAGGACCTCTAGAGGCAGTCTGCTTGGGTCCAGGGAGGTGTCTGGGTAAGAGGGTGCCCAGGTGTTGTGCCCTCCTCTGGGGGCAACTGCCATGTGTGTACTCCCCAGGGCCAGAGCTGCCGCTCGAGGACACAGTCCTGCACAACCTGGAGCATCTGCTGGATGGGCCAGGAGCCCAGGGCAGCTGGTCGGAGCTGGCAGAGCGGCTGGGGCTGCGCAGTCTGGTTGACACATATCGAAAGACGGCCTCGCCTAGTGGCAGTCTCCTGCGCAGTTACAAGGTCAGTTTGATCCCTGCCCCTGCTCCATGCCCAGCTTCCTTTCCCCAGTCTCAGATTGCAGGCGTTTCCTTGACCCCAGAGCTCCTGACTCAGGTCCCATACCCCTCTTCTCCTCAGCTGGCCGGTGGGGACATGGCAGGCCTGTTGGATGCCCTGTCTGACATGGGCCTAGAGGAAGGAGTGAGGCTGCTCAGGGGTCCTGAGGCCCGAGACAAGCTGCCCAGCACAGGTAAAGAGGTCCCAGGGGGAAGGTGGACTTGAGTCTGGAGGGTGGGAGGACTAAGGCCTTGTTTGACTCCTCCCTGTCCCCTTCCCTGTTCCCACACTCCAGCAGAGGTGAAGGAGGACAGTGCATACGGGAGCCAGTCGGTGGAGCAGGAGACAGAAAAACTGGGCCCACCCCCTGAGCCACCAGGAGGGCTCTGCCACGGGCACCCCCAGCCTCAGGTGCACTGACCTGCCACCTCCCCTTCAGCCCCATTCCTGGGCCCCTCTGTACAGCATCCTGCCTGTTCCAGTTATTTAACACCCTAGGTCCACGCCTCAGTTGGGTCAAATAAAGGATTCTCATGGGAAAGGTGAGGGCCTGGCCCCCTCCCCAACTTGTGGAAGCCCAGTGTGACTTGTCCCTGGAACCAGCTGCTTACCCTGGCCCCACACCAGGCCCAAGAGAGAAAAGGAGACCTAGCCAGCAAGTCCAGAGCAGTTTTATTAGGATGGAGGCTGTACAAAGGACAGGGCCCACTGGAGGAGGGAAAGCAAGGCCATGCTGCCCCAGCCTGTGTACGGGGACTGGGCATGGACACCCTTCTTCCACCTCTGCAGAGAGAGAGGGTGAGCCCTCAGGGAGGAAGGAGAGAAAACCAGCTCAGCCCCAGCTCCTGGCATCTGTCTGAACCAGGCCCCAGGGTGGAGAGGGATTGCTGGTGTCAGGGTGGGGGTGGTCTCAGCAGAAAGCAGAAACGGTTGTCAGCCTCCCGCACAAAAAAAAGCATCAAAAGTCCAGAGGCCCTGGTCCCCCACCCCCACCCCCAGCCCAGCCCCCTGTACGAAAAAGTGCAAAACATTATCACAAAATGGGGGTCTCAGAGGGGCCCTTAGCCTGGGCTCCTGAGGCCCATGCCCTAGCCCTGCCCCGGACACCGCGTCCGGCGCGGTCGCGCCCTGGGCCAAGGGGCCCTCATGGGTGACCCGAGGCCGGCCCGGGCTCAGGCAGGGCCATGTCATGCAGGTGCCCGGCAGGCACCACCCCCCAACACCCCCACCCCAGCTCAGGGCTTCCGCCGCCCACTGCCTGCCCCTGCCCGAGGCTCTGAGCCATGGCCCTGAGCTCGGGGCTGGCTGGAGGTGTCAGGCAGCAGGGAGGGACTGCAGTGGGGCGGGTAGCGTCCATCCTCTGTGCTCCCGGCCTGTGCCAGTGCTGCCTCTACCACGTCCAGCTCTTCACTGCCAGCCTTCAGCTTGACCCGAAGTAGAGCTGCGTACGTGCCGTAGCGGGATTTCTGAGACAGAGGGGCAGGGGCTATGAGTTTGCTCTCCAGACTGCCCACCCCACTCCCCTCTGGATCAGGAAGGGCCAGGTGTGATGCTCCTGGTAGGTCAGTGGCCCTCTCTGGGCTCTCTCAAATCTGCCAATTATAAGAGCAGATGCTTCTTGAATCTTGACCGAAGTTGGAAAAACTGAGCACTGGATAGATTTCCTCTCACTTCATCCCCTAGTGGCTATGCACTGTCATCCCTGTGCCACGGAAATGAAGACAGGCTCAGGGGAGGAAGTAACTTGCTGAGGCCACCCAGCACTCCCTTACCCACTAGTCTGAGCCTGTGGGGGGCTCAGATGTCCTGTTGATAAAGGAAGCACAGAGTACCCAGGGCAAGGCTCACCTCGAATTCCAGGTAGGCCTCTTTCTGACGCTGCTCTTCAGCTTCCTTTCCCCGGGCCTTTCTGCCCAGTTGGGCAGCCCGGTGCTCCCGTAGCTCACTTGCCATGGCCTTCAGCTTGGCTTCATGGGTCCGCACCTGCTCCTCCTAGAGGTGAGGAGGAGCCGTTCAGGATTACTCTGCATACAGGCCTTCGCTCAAGTTTTTAAAAAGGATGATCCTTCCTTTCGATGAACAAAGTAACATGTCTAGGTTAACAGCTTGGCAAGTGGAAGTACAGACTGGGTTTGAGCCCCCGTGGCCATCCATGGCCAGCGTCCTGGTGCATGGAAATCTACATGAGCACACGTGGCAGCCTTGACTGAGGGCAGCTGCGATGGGCCTGCCTCACCCCATCCCACTTGCACCAGGTAGACGGAGCGGGCTGGCAGATGGCTACCTGGGAGAGGCGGGTGGCAGCACTAGGCAGTAGAGGGCGGCTGAACTTCTTCTGCGAACTAACTGCAGCTGGGAAGGGGGGTGCAGAGAACATGGCGGCCACCACATTGATGCGAGTGATCCAGGACTGCATCTGCTCCAGGCTCCTAGAGATAAGCACAACCTCTTGGGACCTGGGCCCAGGCATCCTGTCCTGGGATGCTTTGGGGGTGGCCTGAGAAGGAACAAGGCAATCCAGGGGAGGGGAGCACTTGGGAGGGTGAGGTTGAAAGGGTCTGGGATGGGCAGAAAGGAGACGACTCACGAGGCCTGGAAGAGGAAGACCCGCCAGTCAGCTGTGCGCAGGTAGAAGACGTGGGGCCTCTTGCTGTAGTCGCTGGCACGCGTGGCCAGTGCGTGGTGGATGCTGATGGCATTCTTAAGCTCTGCCTCTGATAGGGCCTTCCCAGGCTGGTACTCCTCCTGCAGGAGTGCCTATCTTGTCCTGCTGGCAGTTACCACCTAGCCCAGTCCAGCCACCCCCACCCCCCTGTGCCAGCTCATTCCCAAACCCTTGGGCTTGCCCCACACCTTCTGCAGGTAGAGGATCATGCCCTTGAGGATGCCGTGGAAATTCTTCCAGCCCCGCTTGCCCCGAGGTGCTGGGGGGAGGAAGACAGGTCAGGGGGGCCTGAGACAGGCCCATTCCCATCCATCCCCCAGACCCCCCTCCACCCAGCCACGTACTCTTCCTGCAGTCAGGGTCTGCGTGCACCTTTCGAACCAGGGCCCCGTGCTTGTAGACAGCAGCCCCGGGCTCGGGAGTCAGGTCCAGGAAAGGGCTGGAGCCGCTGCCACTGCCCCCGCTGACCCTCTTGATGACCTTGGGGTTGGGGTCGGCCAACTCAGACAGAGAGCGTCTCAGCTCCTCCTCGTCTCTGCAGGTGTGATCACCTCAGAGGGGGTTGGCTGTGGAGGCCACAACCCCCCCCCACCCCGCCCTTCAGTCCTGGCCTCTGCCCACCCAGGAAACTTCCAGTGTATGTAGAGATAGGGTGGGGGATGTTGCTCCCTTAAGGTGTAGTTTGATCAACGGAGGCTCCTAGAGCCAAGTCTCCTGCCTCCCCTAGGGTGTATCTCTGTCTCCCTGCTCAGAACTTGGGACAACATGTTTCCTCCCTCACATTCGAGCTCCCAACATTAAAATGTCTCAGACAAGAGCTGTCTCTTCCTCCCATCCCATGGAGCCAACCCCATCTCCATTTCTGCACACACACTGCCAACCCTCATACTCTTCTCCACCAGGACAGACACGTGTCTAGCTCAGCTGTCTCGATCACACCCAGCACCAGGCTTTGCTCACAGTTTACTAGCTAAGTAGTGACAGAAGAATTATCTTCCTAGTGGTCCCTAGTACATCTTGGTCTAGAGACGCTATCAGATACCATCTTTGTCGCTTGCTCAAGAACTCGCAGTAACTCCTTATTGCCTCCAAAATGGAGCCTATCCTACATCACCACCAACTGTCTCCTTCCACTCTCCATCCAACTAGGCCTGCCTCCTCTTTGTCTCCCCCCTACTCATTTTAGTCCCAAACTCATTTTAGTCACAACATATTGCCCCCCAAATAACCTTTCCCTTTCCCCAACAAATACTTCCCTCCTTCAAGGCTTGCCCCAAGTCCCAGTCTTCCAGAAGCTTTCCCTGATCTCCCCCCTATAATCCAATCTTGAGCTCTGCCTCCTATGAAGTCTTTTCTCCTGCTGACATGTTCCCAGCTAAACTGAGCAGTGGTTAGTCTCTCAGATACCAGCAAATTTGAGTAGTCCAATGACCATTTAGATGAGGGCTGTCCCTCAGCCTGGGGACCCAAGGCTAAAACTGGACCCTTCCTCAGACTGGACTCTTCCAGGACTCATGGGTCTCTGTCTCCATGGGGCTGCCAAGAGTATACCATGTGGTCCCTTGTTCTGTGACACTCTGGGCTCCCTAGGAACAGAGAGGGGGGCTCTTGTGCTATCAGTCAGGGTCCTACCGCCAGAGAGCTCTGCTTTCCCACAGGGCTACCAAGGAACCTCCCCTCTTTCTTCAATACCCCTCCTCCCGTGCCAACTGACAGTGGCCACCCACCCCAACCAACCTGACTTGTCATAACAACCCAGTTAGAGACAAGACACAGAACCCCAAGTCCAGGCAGACATCTCCAAAGAAGGAAGTAAAGCAACTCACTGCCGCTCCTGGCTCGCCCTCCTCCCCCAGCCCCAGCTTTAGGACTCACAAGGCCCACCTCAGCCCCTCTCAGTCACTCCAAACAGCCCTTTGCCCACACCTCATCCCCACCCCCAACACTGCCCCAGGACTCACATGGCCCACTGCAACTTTTCATTCTTGATGGAGCTGTACAAGGCCTGGAGAGGGAGAGACAAATCAGGGAAAGGTACACCATACACACCAATGTCAGCACTCAGAGTCCCCTCTCCTCCCAACTTGGGGGGAAGACAGACCAAGTGGGGGTGAGCAACAGCATGGTATAATGACCAAAACATAGGCTCAAACAGAGTACTAGGCCCCAGGCCCAGCTCTGCCACTTTAGATGCGTGGGCACCAGCACGTGGGAGAAACAAACAGGGCAAGCCGTAGTCTCGGGGTGTCCTGGCCCACAGTTGACATAAATGGCAGCTCCTCTCTTTACTGTTATTGTCAAGGGGTCAAGCTGCACAGCTCTTGGGTGAAAGCAGCATGGGCATTGAAGGAATAGAAAAGAGCAACCCCAGGAGCTCTCCTTTCCCCAACATGCATTTCGGCCTAATGCCAATATAAACTCACACAATACATGTGAGGAAACTGAGGGTAAGTAAGGCAGACTCACCCTGTTACCTACTTCCTTGGCTAATAGGGAAGACATTCTCATGGCCCCGTCCCCAGCACTAGCTGAGACCTTCTCCAGCCACAGAGCCCCACCATGTCAAATGCCCGGGAGATCTAGCCCCTTGCCCACTCACACACTTCATGTGTAACACTAGGTCAAAAGTAGTAGTTTTGGTTTCCAAAACACTGCACATTCCATACTTTCTGTAAGCTCCCAAGTAGGAACTTCTGTACAGTTGGCCTGGGGATACACCCGGTCTTAGGTGATCTGAAGAGAAAGGGGGCTTCCAGGAGTGGCTATTGGGCCCCTCCTCTTCAGGAGGGGCCTGTAACATGGATCCACATTTGTGCCTCCAACTGTGGGGACGCTTCTGCCAGCCTGTCTGTGAGTGGGTGTGTCCCCAACATGTGCGTGTTGGGCTAAGCGTGTGGCATGTGATGCTATCTACGTGTGAGCTGGATGCAGTGGTGACGTAGGCGCCTTCTCTGTGATGGGACACAACCTCCCCCCAACACGCCACAGTCTCTGACTCTCACTACCAACCACCATGCCCAGTCACAAGGCCAGCCAAGCCTCCCGCATGTCCTCACCCTGTGCAGGGGCGGGGCCACAACGGCCCCCACACAGCACAGCCCGGGGTCATGCACACAGAGCCCTCCCAGCACACGCCCAGCCAAAATCCAGCATAGCCTGGAACCTAAACTCTCACTCCCCACTCAGGCCAGAAAGCCAGAGTGGTCGGAGATGTAAATGCAATACTTGTCTCCACCGTAGTTCATCCCCTGCCCCCTCTCAGGGCCCCCTTCGGCCCTCACTATCTTCCTTTGAAAGTCCGGAGCCCCATCGGTGAGCATCATGGTGCTCCCATCTAGCAGACCCAGAGACCTTTTGGGTTGAGATGAACACCTGATGGGAAGGTCTGTGTCCTCCCCTCTCGGGCCGGCTACAGCTGCTTACTACTAGGTTTAGTCCCCGCTGGGTCCCCTCAGCCCCACCAGCTTATGATACCCCGTGGCTAGTGCCACCTTCAGTGCCTCCCTCCAGCCGCCCCCTCAGCTGCGCCGCCCTCAGCAACTCCCTCTGCCGCCCCCCAGCCTGGCGTGGGCCTGCCCCGACGCCCTCACCGCCTTTTTCTTCTTGCGGCTCTGCAGGCGGCTGACCACCAGGTCCGTGTAGAGCACCGGCTTGAGACTTCGCGAGCGCTGCGGCCAGCCATAGCACAGGGTCTCGGCGCCGCGGTGGGTGCGCCCGTAGCGCACCGAGCACAGCGAGCGCGAGCGCAGCCGCCCGGCGCTGCTGTGGATGCTGTTGACACCAATCATGCTGGCCCCGCCGGCGCGCCGCTGCCCCCGGCCATGCCCC